GAGGAGGGTCAGGGGACACAGAGGCGGTGGTGGGAGAGGAGAGTGCTGGGTACAGTGGAAAGGGAAAAGCCGAAGGAGGGTCAGCAGACACAGAGGCACCTTATTTTCTGGCAGTGCCCCTCCCGAGACTAGACTCTGGATCTGCCCCTGGCTCAGTGGCAATAAAAATAAATTAATGGATCAGTCACTATGGTTCCATGGAATAAAACAGTAAACAAAAAAAACAAAGTAAGAAAAAAAGATTAATTCATTTCAGGGATCCATTTGTTATGTGATCTATAGCCTTGAAGCCAGAGTCGGACTTACTCTGTCCCTGTGTCTGGCAGAAAAACATATTCTACAGCAATCAATCACCCCTGACCAGCACAAATGTTGCTTACTGGTTTGTGAAAAGACAAGATAAAGCTGTGTGACCAGTTGTTTGTCCACCACTCAGAAGCAAAGGAAGACAGGACACCCTATCCTGGCTTATTATCCAACCAGCAGCACAAATACTTCCTTTATTGGGGAATAGATATTTATAGATACTGTATAGTATAGATATCTATATCTATACTATACAGCATAGAACGTTTAAAAAAAAAAAAATCACAATTTGTGTCGGATTTCCCTAATATTCTCCCCATAAGCCACTTCTACAGTGCCACCCTATCCAAAGGTTTTTCATGGGCAACAAAAGCTACACACACCTCATAACAATTAAACATGCTATCTCAAAACTAGTTAGGATATCTGATTAGGATATCTCTATCAATAGTGCTGATTTATTAAAAGTGGAAAAGGAAATCAGCACAAACCTGCCATTCTGGGCAGAGTAACATAGTCTCTTAATAGCTAACCTCCCCCAACCCACTTTCTCACCTTCCCAGGTCTACCCTACTCCTGATTCGTAAGGAGATGAACGATGTGGAACTGAGTGTTAGATGGTGTTGATGATTACAAAAGGTTGATGTCCTTTCTGGGGTCCCCCTCAGCAAACAGCGTTTGGGCCTAGGGATTGGCTACTTATAGCTCAAGCACTGTATTCTAAGAGATCACATGCAATTCCAAAACTGGAACGGAAGCTTCAGGTATTTGTGATGGATTATGAGGAAGTGAGTAATAATTTGGACAGAGGAATGGCTGTGGATATAGTATACTTAGACTTTGCAAAAGCGTTTGACACAGTCCCCCACATGCGGCTAATGTATAAATTAAGGTCAGTAGGTATAGAGTATTCAATCTGTAATTGGATAGAAAACTGTCTTATTCAGCGAGTATTCAGAGAGTGGTGATCAATAATTCATACTCTGAAGGGTCTGAGGTTGTTAGTGGTGTTCCCCAAGGTTCAGTGCTGGGCCCCTTACTGTTTAACCTATTTATAAATGATATAGAGTTGGGGATTAAAAGTACTATTTCTGTGTTTGCAGATGACACCAAGTTATATAGTGGAATACAGTCCTCACAGGATGTCTCCAACCTACAAGCAGATCTGAATGCACTGTGTGATTGGGCATCTATTTGGCAAATTAGGTTTAATGTTGAGAAATGTAAAGTTAACACTTGGGGACTAAAAACATGCATGAGTCATACACTCTGGGGGGAGTATGTTTGGGGGAGTCAGTGATGGAGAAAGATCTGGGTGTTCTGGTAGATCATAGACTGAATAATAACATGCAATGTCAAGCCGCAGTTTCTAAAGCAAGCAAAATACTTTCTTGTATTAAAAGGGGTCTAGACTCCAGAGATAGAGACACATGTCTCTGTACAAAGCATTAGTAAGACCTCATCTGGAATATGCAGTTCAGTTTTGGGTACCAGTTCACAAAAACGATGTTGTGGAACTGGAGAGAGTGCAGCGAAGGGCGACTAAACTCATAAGAGGCATGGAGGAGCTCAGCTATGAGGAAAGATTAATTGACCTGAATTTTTTCTCTCTGGAGAAGAGGCGATTAAGGGGGGACATGATCACCATGTATAAATACATAAATGGTCCATATAGTGAGCTTGGTGACAAATCATTCACTATAAGGTCACTGTAAAGGACAAGGGGGCACTCTTTGCGTCTGGAGGAAAAGAGGTTTAACCTTTGCATACGGAAAGGATTCTTCACAGTTAGAGCTGTAAAAATGTGGAACAGACTCCCCCAGGAGCTAGCTAGCTCAGTTAATTGTTTAAAAAAAAATCTGCATGTATTTCGTAAATGCACAGAGATTGTTGATCCAAGGAATATCTGATTGCCTTATGGAAGGCAAGGATTTTTTCCCCCCCCGTTGGAGCAAATTTAACCATGCTTTATAGCGTTTTTTTGTTGTTGTCTCTTGACGGACAGTGGGTAATTGTGGGCATAGCGTTCTGTTTAGGCTTTTTTTTTCCATATCTCTAAAGGTTAAACACGATGGACATATGTCTTTTTTCAACCTGACTAACTATGTAACTATATATCTATCAGCCAGCAGAACATAGGACACACTTTATTAGAGATACGTTATGTCCCTGCTGCTTTATAACAAAAAATCCCAAAAACCTAAACTTCAGCTTTAAGTCTAATAAAACCTAAACAAGCAAAAATGTGTTAAGTTAAATACTTGGGTAAATGGGTCTGAAAACTAGTTATATCCTGTCTAGTAGTACACCAATATCAACTGCACGTGCTCCTGTGTTACTATACTTACTTGTGATGATGCAAATTCTAGTTTTTCAAGACCAACAAGGTAACGGTTCCTCATGGTGTCCACCTCATAGCGTTTGCTATTTAGTAAAGTCTTGAAAGTGAGAATCAGCTCCAGGTATGAGGTTGGAGTGACGTAGTTGTGTCTGCGCAGTGTGCTGAAGTAATGCTCTGACAGCTCCTTGATGTTTTCTTGGAAATACTTGCACATGGAAACAACCCTAGGACACAAAGCAATGCATACTTTTAATCCTTCTCTTGGGTAAGAACTGTATAATACACATACAAAGCAGTAAACACATTATTGCTCATCATAAAAAAGGTCTGTTTTATACATATACACAGCAAGACCCACATTTATACCTGACACAAGAAGACCCAGTGCAGCCTATATGAACAGCGAGACGTATATTAATTCTTGTCACGACAAGACCTTGGATAATACACATACAGAGCAATACATATATTGCTTGTCACAAGAAGGGTCTGCATGATACTATTACACAGAAATACATACATTAAAGCTTGGCAGGAAGCTTCTATAAATCAACATTTCCAAAGTGAAGTGTTCTTGATTTAGAGCCTCTTTCAGCTCTTTCCAACAGATACTGGCAAACTTCCATATAGAAAATGTTTAATCTTCCTAGTAGTTATGGAGAATACATTCATTTTCCAAAATGACTTTCTGTGTTAAACTAGATGTTAAACTCCTTGCTAACCTTATTTCAGTATTTATCTATAGCAGGGCTCAAAATTTCAATTCTTGAGCTACTAGCCAGGCCTTAAGAGTCACTAGCCACCAGTTGCCCCACCTAACCCTTACCCTGGCCCAGCCTTAACTCCGCCCCTAAACACACCCTCTTAAATAATCTTATGATAATTCTTATCTTATGATAGTTGCTTGCTTGCTTGTAAACGGCAGATTAGGGATTCCTGCTGCAGGAAAACGCAAGTTCCTGACGCAGGAATCTCTAATCACACCTGAAATATACTGTAAGTGTGAATGGGGCCTAATATACACATACACTAAAGGTGTCCATACACCTGCTGATTATTGTACGATAATCGCGGGTGATCCCGCAATCGTACGATAATCGGCAGGTGTATGGGCAGCGTGCGACCGCTTCTACTGTAAGGTCGTACGGCTTTTGTCTTCCAAGCATGCTGGAAAACCTGCCGAAAATCGTACGATTTTTGGCGGGTTGGTGGCGTGGTCGGAGGACGAATGCCACACGGGCCGGTGTGCCCACTCAGCACTGCAATCATCGGAAGCCCTCAGCACTGCAATCATCGGAAGCCAGGCATCGATCCTGCTAACAGACATTCTTTCTTTCGGCCGGAGCTCAGAACTGTCAGAGCTCCGGCCGAAGGAAGCCAGAGCTGACAGGGGCTGCTCTGCGGTCTGCATACGACACAGATGCAGACCGTGGAGCTTCTCCCGCAAGTCAGGTACACGGTCTGTGACCGTGTGCCTGACAGGTCAGCTGGCTGTGGGCCACATAGTACCGGCTCGCGGGCCGGAGTTGGTCCGCGGACCGGTACTTGGAGACCCAAATTCGCCCTTACCTTATTTTTACTTGCAAAATGCGAGCAGGCGAGTGGAAATTTTGAGCCCTGATCTATAGTATCTTTAGGTTTCCTTTTCATACATATAACTATATTATGATAATATGCTCAGTTTATAGAACAACACCAGCCAAATATGTCAAGATAAAAGTAAATAGCCCATTTAAAGATTAAATATAGAAACAGGACAAAGAGAGAAATTGGCTACAGGGAGCAACATTGGCTACAGAGCAGAACCACAAAGTCTCCATAGCTGTTCAGAGACTTTGTGCAGAGAGGACTGAAGACTCCAGAGAGAGAGAAGGCCACAGTTCTCTTGCTGCATCCTAGAAAGAGAAATTAGGGACATCAACACCGGCAGACTGAAAACAGATCACCGGCCCATGGCATAGTTATGGCTCAATGAATCTTAGGACAGCCTTTTGTTTGGCTATATTTGTATTGGGTCCACAATTAAACAAGTAAATAAAAAATATAAAATAATTATTTTATAAAAAGGTTAGAATAAACAATAATTTTCTTTTTCAGTTTCGGCCTGACAAATTTTCAATTTTCGGTTTCGGTCTGAAAATTCAATTTCTTTGCACCTCTACTTTTAATGTCATCAGCTTAAAGGTGTAGAGGTGAGAGGTGGAAGTATTGCAGAAGTGTGTTTATTTAAGTCAACACTGAGTATAATTGCAAAAGCAGAAGAATAGTTTCAGCTACCAAAAGAGAAAGGTTTTACACAGACTGCACATTTTACACAGACTGCACATCTTTACACAGACTGCACATTTTTATACAGACTGCACATTTTTACAAAGAATGCACATTTAAAGCTTAAATAATTTTTTCTTTATAATTGACTCTCCCATATTGCTTTAAGGTTTCAAAGGTTTCAAAGAAAATATTTATATATCCAAGCAAATAGTGTTCATAGACATATTTCTACATGGCCATGCAAATCATCTATATAAACACATAACACTTACTCTTTCCTAATGTCATCATCGAGGTCTACATCTTCCAAGAACTTGTTGGCCACCATTTCTAAAGCATCAGTTGGCCATGTCTGAAACCAGTCAATGGTACAGCAGTTTATTAGTGAAGGAAACATGCGCAGTCGATTGCGGAAGGCATCACCGATAGGACTCATAGCTAGTGGGCCGGAAACAAAAAGTTATGTTATAGTGACTGTACACTGTGAACTAAAAGCAAGTATCCATAAACAATGTTAAGCAAACAGTGCCTTTAAAACAAGCTATATCCTGGAAGTCACAATGGAGAGCAGCTCTCCACAGAAAACTGGATGTTCGAGTTTTGCACTCCTAATATTGGATTGAAACTGGTGTTTCTATCACTCTGCTCTCTCTGAGACCCTGGAGCTAAGAGGCAGATAGGAGAGAAGCAGCTCAGACGGGCACAGGAACAGGAACTGTGCCGGTCTCAGTGCGTGCGGACGGCAATGCATCCCTGCCGCACAGCTGCCCGTACATGCTACGGGTGGCTGTGCAGGGATGTAGCGGCAACTCTCTGGAGGGGGGGGCCCTTTTCTTCATCCAAGTGGCCGAACGCCAGGGCCCGGTCGCAATTGCGACCGCTGCGACCCTGGTAGTTCCGCCAGTGCTCCTACCCCTTAGGGAGTGTCACCATGGTGCCCTGCACTTACAGTGTATTAATGTAGAGAGTGGCATTATTATGTCAGCAGCACTCTCTGAACCACCCACTGCAGGTAAAAGACCAAACATGATAAGGACCTTGCGTGTCCCATGACTGGCCTCAAGACATCTGGTAAAGGGAAGTATAAAGTTGTATGAGTAGTATGTGAATTTTAAATTTTATATTTTTTTTATAAGTGACATCCCTTTAAGATCAAAGGTTAATTTGGTCTGATGGGCTCTCAATGTCTTTCACATCCAAGTGCTGCTCTCCTCCCTATTGGGAACATGTTATAAAAGATTGTGCCTACAGTGTATAACAAACATCTAAGTGTTTGAAGATTGCACAAAAATCTGGATCAATCTGATTAGGTGGAACAACAACCTCCATAGAAAAATAATACCTGGCACCATGTTTTTAACCCTTCCCTGCACATATGAGGTTTGCTTGGAGCAGCTAACATTGCTGTGTTCTTACCTAACACTAGATGTAAATTGGCCTTGACTCTCTCGATGAAGAAGTTGTACATAGCCATAGGAGTGGCTTCGATTTTCTTCCCTTCTGTCCTGGAGATGGACTGCATTTTCTCAACTATATCTGCCTTCTCATCTGCTGGAAAGATATTAGGGACATCCCCAGTATTCAACAGCATGTTGATATCTTCTAGAAACCCTTCGTCTTTGATTTGGTTATCGCAGAACAAAAAGACTGTGTTCTTGCCTGCCACACCTGATTGCAACATAACTTTCTTCACATCATCTCTCCATTCATTTATAGTGTAGTTTTTCGTTATCTCAATCTGAAATAGCTCAAAAGAGTTCATGAAAGTGGCCAGTTTGGTAGCACTCTGCCTCCCGCTTCCACCAATCCCAACCAACAGCAAGTGGCCATTGTCTTGCTTCAACACACGACAAATTCTTGAAATATGTTCTATAGCAAATTTAAACATCACCAAGGACATTGGAGCTTTGCTGACATTATTAAATTCATCCAGATAGTATTCCATGACATTTGTCAGCTGCTTCAGATCAGTGATTTCATCATACGCTTTAACCTCACTGTCAGGTTTAAAATAGTCTCCAAAGAAAAGGCTTCTAATATTATCATCAACCACCTTTCCTGTAGGCGCCAAGTGGCTTAGAACCTGAGGGGTATAGAACAAAGCATACATGTTAACCCTGCAAAATGTATACTTTTTTAAAGGTCGATAAAACAAAAGCAAGCAAATCAGCTTGGGTGGATCAGAACTCAACCTAGATTGCACAAATTATTTTTTTGTGTTCAGAATGTCCACCTCACCCTTTAGTGCATCAAACAACCATTGGTAATGTAAAGTCTGAATTTTCCATAACATCGTGAGATCACATTTGGCAAACTGTAAAACTGCAAAAGATCACATTTGGCAAACAGCAAAACTAACTATTCCTATTATATCTTCCATAGCAAAGAAGAAGTTCAGACAGCTGTATGCAATTTGGATAAATTGTTATATACTAAAGGTGCCCATACACCTTACGATTATCGTACGATAATCGTATGCGATCGACTTTTCGTACGACAATCGTAACGTGTGAACGTAGGTGTAAGGTATACACCTTCCGATTATCGGACGAAACTTTTCGTCCGATGATCGAACCTTCCTACGATTTTCGTACGACGGCCCCATCCTGCCCCGATTATCGCAATGTTCAATCAGCGGTAGTTAAAAAAAACACCTGGACGACTTTCGGTAATTTACCAAAATTATTTTCGTTTGCGCATGCGCAGTGTTAATCGTACGACTTTTGACGGATGGAAACGCTACCAACCAACGCGAACATCGTGCGATCGACCAAAGTTTTCAAACATGCTTGACCGCCAAAAGTCGTACGATTGTACAGTACTATCGGTCGGGCACTCTATTCACACGTCACGATTGTCGTACGAAAAGTCAATTGCATACGATTATCGTACGATAATCGTAAGGTGTATGGGCACCTTTAGGATGTGAATGTGTCATACGCCAGAGGTTCTGATTGCACAGCTGGCCACACATATACAAAAGGAATGATTTAATGATTTGTATTTCCCTGCACACTCTCATAGAATTATGTATAAACACATTGTTTGTGGATTTTTGATGAAAGTGAGGAAATTATAACAGTTACATGCAGTATATTACTGGAGGGTTGGTTGAAAAGCATAAATGTCAACTGTGTTGATTGCCAATGGACTTGTACGTATATGCAACCAGTCCTTACATTCACCCCAGTCACACTGAAATGCCAGGTGCAGGATGTTTCTGTAGATTAAACTGCAGTCAAGCAATGCACTAGATACAGTTAATCAAACAACTGCGTTAAAGTACATGTAAAGCCACATTTTTTTCCCATTTTGGATAGAGTAGGGGAAAGTTTAAACTGCTGTCAGATTTTTTTTAGTCACCCGTGTTTCATTTTCTATCCTGTAGACTCAACAGGATATATTTCCAATGTGAATGATATCCCCTATTAGACAGCTGTCCCAAGAACAAGTGTCCCCATTGAAAGGTTTCCTCTTTCTTCTCTTCTGGTGGCAACTCAGAATTTTGGATTTACCCTCACTTTCATTTCCATTGACATTGGTGATCTAGACAATTAGCCTGGTGTGGGACCCTTTCCTCCCCCATTCTCGAATCTGACATTGAAGGAGCAGAATCCCCAGGCACTCCCCTCCTGTAGGCAAGTTAACATGTGGACTTTGCAAAACAATCACAGTTTCCCCACAATACTGTTTTAAAGTGCTTTGACTACTTGTTGAAAATATGTAAATACTTTAATGTGCACAATCTGGGCACAGGTCAAGGCTTCTATCAGCAGGCCTTTGTTAACTTCAGACTTGCTTCTTTTCCTATACCAATCAATGTCAATACAAAAATAGCAGCTTTCAGCGAGTTCAGCAGTTTAGATAAAATGCAGGTCAGAAGGAGGTCAACTGTAGGTCATATCCACCTGTCAACTGACTGTGAATAATCTCAGAAGCGTTTAAATCTGGTTTTAAATGCAGGCTGAATGCACCTAATGAATGGAGATGTGTAAGTTTAAATAAATAAACCTATTGTTATTTTTAAAAATGTATTACAGCAGTCACCATTTGAGTTTGATATAACTGACACCCTTGTACATTTTACTATTTTAAAGGCTTAATTTCTGGTTACCAGTGCAGCAATCTGAGCTCCATGGAGAAGAAAGAAGAAAACATACTATAATTATTATAGAAAAACTGAACTCTGGAAACCGTGCCAAAAAGAAAACGCAGGCTAAAGGCAAAAGACTAGTCACTGGTATTTTATTTGGTTTCCCTGTTACCTATTACTGACTTACCATGCCTTCTTCTGCACTATGCCTCTGTGTAGAGGCAGCCATGTTGGTGAAAGCAGGTTTTTGCTTCCTTATGTCATAGCATCCGGCAAGGGGAATAGCAAGCGGGAAAGTAGTAAAATCACCAAATATTAGCCCAAATCAGCTGAAACTAGCAGTGAAAGACAGCAGTGCTTTACACTGCAAATATACAGCTATGAGACTGTAGACACAAAAGTGATTAGGCAGCCTCACATACCAGGAAGTGCACTGATATTTTTTATTAGGCACAAATTCTCTCTAGATGCTCCCTATAACAAAGCAAATCTTCACTTTTTTGAGTTTAGGTGTAAGGCTAGGTCGGGCTATATGAATCTCAGCTGCGGAGTGTGCCTAGCTCAGGTGTATTTGCTTAGGGGTACGGCTTCAGGGTGGAGCTCCAGGTGGCACTCTCAAACTTTATCGGAGAGTTAGGAGCTCTACCATCATATGCCGCAATTACTTTGTTTAAGTGGTGATGCACACGAGTAGCCCCAGCGTATTACTCCATACCTGGGTTACAACTATTATGTGTGGTTCAAGCAGGTTCAAACAATAAGACTTCAGTAAGGAGTATCAAACAAAAAGTAATATCAGCACTTCCCCTTTAAATGGTGTGGCTCAGATAGCAATGAGGAAGTCCATACAGCAATTGCATGAGAGTCAGATAAATCACTTAAGTGAGCACTAGCTGGGACAGGCTGTCACAGACTAGGCAATACTTGCAATTAGATGTCCTAGCACAAAAGGGTTCCTTCCAGCAGAACAGGTCCAATAGTCCAGGCGAGGGGATCTCTGGTTGTCAGCTGGCGTTCACTGGCAATAGTGGAAAGCCATACTGATCTCTCTGCCAGCCTTTTATGGGGAAGGAGTGTGGGAGGAGCTGCCGACGTCATAGGGGCCGCTGCGTTCCACGCTGGAACGCATCGGCGCATCTACTTCCGTCCCGCGGCTTGCGTTCCACTGTGGAGCGCAGCCGCGATCGTTACATTAGGTCCACTTTCACGTATCAATCTGTACTTGGGTGACAGCTTTAATTAAAGAAGTGTATACTGATCTTATGCTATTTTATGCTGCTCTAAAGTGAGGTGTGGTTGAAAATGATAAGCAGGTAATATTTTTGCAATCACATGTGTACTTAAATTATATACTGTATATTCCCTCACCAGTATCCAGGGCCGTCTTTAACGCAGGGCAAAAGGGGCCATTGCCCGGGGCCCAGTCATTGCTGTGGGGCCCAAAGCAACTACAGACTAAGCAGAGGCACCATTCTGCCAAACAGTGCATAGTGTGACATCTCAGGGACTGGGCGGGTAGGGGGTGCAGTGAGGGTGGGGCATGGTGGGTAGTGACGGGGGTCCAAGAAGATGTTAGCCCAGGGTCCAATCAATATTGAAGACGGCCCTGCCAGTATCCATGTCCCAACCTCACATTGTTCCTTCACCAGCGTCTACTTCTTTTACTCCATGTCTGTCTCTTCTTGTACTCCTTGACATGTGTTCACTGATACCATAGTGAGGCAGTGGTACTAAAGCCAGTGAATCCATGTTCCCAGGCTGGTTCATTACAAAAAGCAATGTGCACTAAACATTGCTGACACATGACCTGTATTTGCCGGCAGCAGTACACAAATTAATTTGTGTAAATATTTTTTTTTAAATATACACATATTATTAAGTGAAGTGTCCCATCTCACTAGATTGCATAAGGGTGTGTGTGAACTAATTCCACTAGGAGAATAGGGAAAGCACTGCTGTTTATGGATAATGGGGGAAGAGCAGGCAGAACAGAAACACAGTGGAAGCTGATTATAGAATTGGGTAGAGGAGAGGAGGAGCAGCTGAGCATGGAACATTGGGAAAGGCAGAGAAGGCAGAGTACAAGCTAAATGGAGAGAAAAAAAGAGAGAAATCAGTTTCAGCTAATCAAGTAATGGAAAGAGTAAAGATGGTCATATGCGGCTCGAACCTCAATACACATATCCTAGGATGAGAACTGCCATACAATGCCAATTTTATTAAAGGTTTCATGAGTCATAGATACATCATACCTTGTCAACGCTTTGTTTAAAGCAATTGGATGTGGTCTCTTTTACCATGTTAAAGAACATCTGCCTGTCTTCAGGATCAATTAAACGGTCATAAAATACACGGTACACTTCATGGATCCAGAGTCTGATCAATTTATCATTGTCCTTAAATACACAAAAGAAATACCGAATTAGTTTGTAAAAGAAAAATCAATAGTACATCATGTATTCTGACGTGTATTTCATGGCTTGTATGTGTGTGGCAAATGAATAGTATATTATTACAATTTTTTGTTAATTCTCTATGAAAATTAGAGTTTAGAACATCTTGTTCTTTATTTAGATGATGCTTAGATGTAAAAGTAGCCCCATAGCAAGTAGTATAATTAAATTAGGTATTGCTGTGCGGCAGTGAGCTGTATACTCGCTGTCATTTAAAACAACTTCTCTCATGTGCATAATACACTGTATATTCAATCTTACCTGAAGGTGGGTGTGTGGGCACAGCAACACTCCGCGTACCACCCGGGAGAAGTCTCTCAAGTTAAAAAGATAATGAGATTTTGATGGAGTTGGCAAGAAGTTCTCAACAGCTGTTTTGTAAATTGCCATGGTGGCCTGTATCATAAGTTTGCTAGATCTGTAATAAACAACATTTATGTGTAAATGTAGACTACAACTAAGGCAATGGGAAAGCTTATCTACAGGGGGGAAAAATGGAACATTTTGTAGTATCCAAGCCGTGCAATATGCTTTTCTTTTTACCTCTGTTTATTACATTTTCTAGTGAAATTATTGCAAAGCCTGTCTTAATTAGATGAAATATGAACCTATTTTATTAGTTAGAGACTAGTCATGTCTACCTGCTGCCTAGCTACAGGGTGACCAGCCACCTCACTGCGCTCCTGTCATCCTACTTTAGGCAGCACTAATACTAACACTGCATTAAGAGGATGCTTGTTGGTTTTATATCTAATTTCCCTGCCTATTCCTAGCCTGCAACAATGACTGAGGAGTCCTCTATTTTCCAGTGAATTCCTATACACCTGCCCAAAGGTTCACTCAAAGGCATGAACACAGGACCACCACCATGTTGCATTTGACACCACTGGCAGGTGATGTGGGGGTCACCTGAGGCATGGAGTCTAAGTGACACCTTGGTCTTCAGAAGAGCCTTTAGCAACAATGGATGGGCTGCTGACCCTAGTGGATCTGACTCCCAACAGTCATTTACAAAGAAGAGACAGCCTGGTCCCCTGACCTTTTTCTGCTGCATGTAACCAATACAGCAATGTTACCTCCCTGCCCCCAGCCTGGGATTGGACAGTGAAGGAGCAGAACAACCTGATCAGGTCATCACTCTGATTTCTGCCCTCCTGTCAGCATATTCTTTGTCAGCACTTGTAAATGCAGGTCACCTGGCTGGCTCAAATCCTGTTCCTCCCTCTCCCAATCTGACACCCTGAATGCTGCTGTACATGGAAGTTTAAGAGGCTTAAATCAAGTCAAATTCAGTTATTTATATTTTAAATGAATACTTATAAAAATAAAGTTGAAATCAATGAATGCAGTTATTTGGTAAATATTTGTATTATGCTAAATGCAGGCTTATTTAAACATTATTTTAGAGTGTATGTGGGACTGTAGCCCTTTGCTGGTTATTATATGCCGTGCAACCTTGTTTCCATGAGACTGCAGTGTACATACATCAGACATGTAAATATATTTTAAATAATTTCTTTGTGAATGATCAGGCACATGCATACTAAGAATGGACGGACCTGGGGCATGCATTATTATAATGGATGTAATCTTACTCTACATGCCACCATTGTTTTCAAGGTAGCTTGATGAGTATGTTTGAGACTCCTTGGCCTGCATAATCACAGTTATCAGATATAGTGTATGACATAGGTAACTAGGCCATATATATCAGGACACTTGTTAAGGCCACATAACTACCTGTTCTCATTAGCCTTTTGGAAATGTCCTTTAGGCTTAGAAGAGTCGACTACAGTTCCCAGAATCTTGGTTCTAAATATGTGACCACAAACCTGCACAACCTACTCCTGTTGTGGCATCAAACGTGCTCTAGCAGACCAAAACAAACATCCATAATTCTCATTTCCAATCTTTGCCTTCTAAATAAGCAATTCCTATAGCTTTCAAAAATGCTGTTCTGTTATTCTACTTCTCCATTAGTTTGTAGGTAATATGGTAGAATAAAATAATACAAAATGCTATTTAATTATATTATTTTGTAATAAACTGTGATCTATTATGCTTTACAATGGATTTAGGAAATCCAAAGCATCAATTAAAGTTGACGAAGTTGTGTTTGCAAGGTTCACTACCTCATGCTCCTATAAATAATAATCCAAGAAGTAAACATATGTGTCGAGGTGGTATGTCGCACAGACAATAGAAAGCATCTTCCATGGCCCTGTTGGCATAGCTGTTCTCGCAAGTCCTTCTGGTTTTGGTTTGTTGCCCACAAGTTGACAAGCCTGACATGTAGAGATCATATGCTCTGCCAGTTTATTAATGCATGATTACCTTAGGCCCCTTTCACATGGGCATTCCGATCAGGTCCGCCTGTTAGTTTGTCAGGCGGACTTGATCAGAAGTGTCCAAGGTTGCCCCAGGTCCAAGGTTGCCCCAGGTCTTTCACAATCCTAGCAATTCCCCTGCTGTTGACATGTGAGTTATTTTAGCATTATAATCTAACAATAGTGGTTTGTGATTGTCAAATATTTTACTATGGCATAAATCTACATATTGAACTCTTTTCACACATATAACAGATTCGATGCATTGGTATCCGGTTTCATCATCCAAGTTTCATATATCAGGTTTCATCATCTACTAAGGGGCTTAAACTTATGAGGCCCATTTTGCCACACTTGACATCTGACATCTTTGGTATTGGTGGGGGTATTTATTCAATTATAACTGCAAATAGTTTAAAAATAGCTTGGTAAGGACAATTAAGATGTATTTATAAACATTTTGCAGAGCCATTCACCCTGCGAAACTATGCTTTCCAATGCTCCTCAGCTCCATCTAGTGGCCATAGTGTGATATTATCCAGATTTTCATTCGCCTTGGAAAAAAATATACTGTGAACGTTTGTTTTTTGCCACACTGAATGAACTTTCATGTGGTTTCGCAGGATAATTGGCTCTCTGGATTGGTTATAAATACAATCCTTGGTGTATTTGTGTAACATAATCTGAAAGTTTTCATGTTTTAGTTATGCCATTTTTTTTCTCGTTATTGGTTTGATGTAGTTGTGTCATTGAACGGTTGTGTCTGTTTATTTTCTTTGCATTCAGCATAAATCTTTTATTTACAAAATGTGAGCCTTTACAAACCTACAGTAGTTTTTTTTCCTCTAGTTTCCCATATTGTTTTTTATTTATGCTGAATATTGGAAATAATCCATCAGAATAAGCAATTGTATTTGGATTGTCATTTCTATACCGTTTTCTCTAATTATATCCACGCACCAGAAAAGTGGTGATTTGACCAAATGGGAAATCAAGCTGCTTCAGAGCAAGTGCTTTGTGAAATTGTTACAGCATGAAAAGAGATTGCTGTGTTTTGAAAGAGATAAATGTTTGTATTTCAGGTGCTTGATATGGACAGGGATTAAATGAGGATTTAGAGAGCTAAAGGAAGATGGTGCATGATTATAGCATTTTCCTGATATAATGTATACTAACCTAGTGAACAAGGTTTGGAAACTGAACCAGATTCATATGATGTTATTTTTTAGATTGTTTTTCCTTCAAGCATTACCCAACTGCAATTATAAATAATCATCTTGACTTCAGTACATGGTTGCGATGGGATGTATGTCAGTAGACTCAGTATAGCTAACATTGACCTCCACAGTGAACAGAGGTTCAGTACTGTGATGCAGTGTACTTTAAGAGACAAAAATTGCATTTTTGCTCTGCGTACATGTTTACCATAGAGGAGAATAGTGTCAAGTTGTGTGATTACTTAACACCTGTGTGCGAGTCCATACGCATATTCTTAGCACAGTACAGGCTCTAAGGTTCTTACAATTTTATTGGAAAAAGATCTATTTCCTGATTTGCTGTAACGAACAGCGTATCATGGTGCAGTTCTTCTCCTGAACTTTAGAACAATGCTAGTGTCGTTGAAGAATTAATAAACAGCACATCACATTTAGAAGCTTTGCCCAAACACTACAGAAACAATCACAGACATATCAAATATATTATGCACAAGAAGTACCTCAAAAATGAAATATCAAATCCTTTGCCGAAGTGCCAGTCAGAGATAGAACAAAATATTTTTGTTAGAGTTTCATCATCGAAGGCATTTATGGAGACTATGTTCAAGTGACGTGTGAAACGAACTACAAAAGGAAAAAAGATAGTAATTAGAGACAAAATGTCAACATAAAGCATTTGAAAGTTTTGTGAAGCACACAGTGTCTGATAACTTCTATACCACACACAACGCTACTAGAGCAAGCTGCTCCACTGGTTTTATCACCAGCCATAAGGGAAACTGACAGAGAGGAAGAGGTGTTGCATCAGTAACTACATCAAACATGTCAGAGTGAATGGGAGATTGCTTAGAAAGTGCATGAAGATTGTTAGTGCACACAGTGACAGCACAAAAGTATAGCAAAGGGGAGAAAAAAAATATCTTACAAAGAATCCTACCTTTCTCCGCCGCTGAGTCTCTCACTGGCCGCCATTGTGGTGAGCAGAGCGGCAGGGTTAAAAGTAACCCTGCCGCTCCGTGTAGACAGTGAGAGGGGAGAGCTGTGCTCTTTCTCTCTCACCTGTCACAGGAGTTCCAGCACAGTCCTGTGCTAGAACTCCTGTCCTGGAGGTGACAGGGTCAATAAAGAGAACCTGTCACCTCCAAATGCTATCACTCAGGGGTTGTTAGCTCCTATGTGATAGGTCTGCAGGGAGAGTAAATCCGGCCCTGACCATACACATACCTTGTTCTTGCAGTCTTCTCTTCCTTAGCAGCGGGAGGAGGGGTGACAATTTGCAATTTGAGCCGCGATATTGATATGCAAATCGGCCCATTCATATGTTAATATCTCAGGTGGGACAGTGCACGAACAGGAACAGCAAGCTTCAGAGAGAGCAGAGGGAGCTGGGGGCGGGCTCTGACTATAGGAAACTGAAGATCAGAGCCCTCGTCGATTGTGCTGCTCCTGTGTATGGGAGGGAGGCGCTGTTTTACGCCCTGCCCCACCAGCGCCCTCAAGCGGCCGCTTGTGTTGCCTATGTGGTAGTGCCGGCCCTGTGCACATACCCGGAGCAGCTTTCAATAGCCTATCTATACCTCAATACCTGCAGAAGCCCCCAAAACTCTGCCCTTATGGCTGAATCCTAGGCCGTTCTGATAGGTAGCGCTCTGACATTTCTACATAGTTTTGGAGCATGCCTGCCTCACTGGCCATTGGGAACATGCATGAGACAAGAGCAAGCGGGCACGTTTCGGCACTATTAGAAAGAGCTGAAGCTTTGCCTGTCAAAATAGGGTTTTGGGTCCTGCAACGCATATCTGCAGGCACCTCTAGACTTTTTTTTACTGCTGACAAGAGTCTTTTTAAACTGTCCTATTAAGGCCTGGTCACTCTATATGAAAGTCAGCAGTAGAAGAGAGTGCATACTGCCTTCTTGGCCTTAAGTGTGGTTTACCCTGTTTTGTACCTGTGTCTTGTGATAGGTACATGATGTGAATGTTAGTTAAAGCGCTGCCTTTGTTTCACAGTTTTCATTTGGTTATTGTATAAGTGTCAAGAAATTTTCTAACACAATTATTTCTGTTTCTATTTAACAAGAGTCTTCAAGAAATTCAAGAATTACTATTTGGTTTTACTTTCTGAATCCCTCTTTGCTCTTTCCTGATTGGACAGTTTAATGTGTGATAAAACATGTTAAAAAGACATTGTTGGTTGGGATGAAGATCAGGTTTACTGCTACCATGGGTTTGAGGAGAATCACTTTTTGTGGTCCAGGAGAATATTTGTGAAGATTCACCTGGGGGAATGTATTTAAACCATAAGGCCCTGCATGGCCTTTGAACTATGGCCAGCAGGTTTTGAACGGCCAACAAGGGTTTTTTTTTAACATAAGCCAGCCCCCCTCACTATAACGGGAGGGGGTCATAGTGCAGCCATAGTGCATGGAGTGAATTGAAAGCTGTTGTAGGGAAAGCATAGGGAAATCTGACAAACTGAAAAGGGAAAGATTAGGGGTAGTTTAAAAACGATACTGTAATTTTGATTTCTAGCACTCAATTAACTCCTTTTGCTGCCCTCTTTACCTCATTAACCCCTTTATGACCAGTGAGATACAGTGTACGTTACTGGCATAAGGCCCGTTCAAACAGGTTCTGGCTCTGTTTACACTGGTAAAGCAGACCGTTGGCTTTACAGTAGAAGTGACTCTACTCAGTTGCCGCTAGATCGCTTCTATGGGCCGGTAAACACCCAGCTCGCCTGTTTCCCGGGGCTCAGCTGCCCCTCCGACAGGCCTGGGACCAGCTTCTCTGGTGTTGGGGGGAACCTGTGGAGGAGATTGGCAAACCTCCGTTCACCAATCTCCTTCCTGTACTATGGGACCGGGAGCGATGCAGATTACATCACTTCTGGTCCCATAGCTGTCATTGCTGGGCTTCTGAAGCCCAGCAATAAGCTATAGAAGTGCGATCTGCACTTCAATAGCTTATTTAGAGTGTAAAGGTAATACTAGGGGACTTTTGGACACCCAGCATTACCTTAAAGAGGACCTGTCATCAACACTATGCTATCACATGGGGAACTTGTAAGTCCCCTATGTGATAGCAATAAAAGTAAAGTATATACGTTTAAAAAAAAAAACATTTTTAAAATTAATATTAAATAAATGTAAAAATAACAAAAAAGTTTTTAAAGTGCCCTGCCCCCACGAGCATGCGCGTCTTCACATAAAAACCCATCAGGTGCACCTATGTATGAAAATGACGATCGTGCTACACATGTTGGGTATCGGCTCGCACGCCGGAGTGAGAGCATTAATTCGAGGGGCACTATTTAAGCATATCACTAAACGGATGACCTGTGGGGGCTTTTAAAGCATTGTCTATGGACTTTTTAGGGTAGTGAATTTTGTCGCCGTTTCACAGACGCCCAGAATTTTTAACCTGTGCATGTTGGGTATTTATTTACTTGTTATATTTTATTTTAAAAATTAGTATTTTATTGTGTATTGAGGCATTTAAGTGCATTTTTCACTACATTTTGGGGTTTGTTAAGGTGATGCACTAATATCGTGCAACATAAAAATTTGCAACTGCCACCATTTCATTCTACAGGGTCTTGGCTTTCAGAAAATATATAATGTTTGGGGTTTTAAGTATTTTTCAGGCCTAAAATGTGGATTATAACATAACATATAGCTGTGGATTACTAAAGTGCTGGATCATTATTTGTTATAGTGATGCTGTCTACTGTGTATGTTATTATTTTATATTTGTTCGCAACAAACAAAATGGACACATGGCATTTTTTGTTTTTACAAACATTTAAATGTATATTTATATCAATAAAAAATTGAATTTTAGATACATATTGTCATTCAGTTTTTGGCACCTCGAAAGCCCCAAGTTGTTTTTTTTGTTCTTTGTGGTTTAATTAATCAGGGGCGTGGTGCCATGCTTCTGCATCTTCATGTCCCCTGCCTTATCAAATCGCTATTGTTACATTAGCTACTGTTTTGTCCATAAAAGACCTGTTAAAAAAATGGGGTTTTGCTTCAAGGTTCATATTTTAGGGGTTTCATTTCTTTTGTGAGTTTTTCATTTTATGTTGTGGTTTGTTTCTATGTCCCCGCTAGATAGATTTCCGAGGACTTTCTGCCCGGACAAATAGAGAGGGAATATCTTCTTAACAGGATTGATCCACTCATTCCGGGGAGTGTGGTTTATGTCAAGACTTTGATCGCCTACAAGGTATTATGGCTGTACTAACAGATCTCCTCACCACAAGAGAGAATCAGGAGGTTTGGGCATGCTACGATTCAGTGTATGCCCAAAAAGATGCCCCCCGTTCAACGACAAGCCAATAAGACTTTGTTTAAATGTATCTTCTATATCCCAGGAACATAGCCAAAGTGCTATGCATATGGACAGATATTACTGCCATGCAAGGCACCAACTTAGAGGCCACTAAAAGCTCATCATAACTAAAGACAGTTTAGACAGTTGTTCAACAAGTTGCAAAGCTCAAGGGTCTTGTTCTGTGATAGAAGAGTCCCTCTTAAAGAATATGATTCATTGAGACATGGGGGGTGATTTACTAACCTAAACACACGCACGCACTAGGTGCGTGTGATTTTTACACAGCAAAACGTATTTATCAACCAAAAAGTCTCTAAAAGCATATTTCCACTAATGCCATATATGGAAAAATCATGCACACGATGCATATATAATGCTGCTTCACAGTTTAGACAAAAATGGTTAGCTCATGCATTTACATTCCTGCATTCATCAACGCAAGCAACACAATGTAGAGCGAATTTACACAACATCACCTTGCAATTCATGCAGGGCTTTGCACAACACACCTGCTGGGTGTGTACACACTACAAAGGTGTCTAGATTCCACCAATAGATCATGCTGGGTGGGAACACACTACAGAGGTGTATACTTGTTCGTGGCGTGTTTATAAGGTTAGTAAATCAACCCCATGGTATCACAAATCAATGTTACCACCTGACCTATAAATAGAAAGTCTGTGAAGTCCCTAAAGGTAAAGGCACCATCAACCAATGTGATGAGATATCCATTCAGGTCATTCAGATTGTCCATTAAACCTCCTAGGACACTAGCAAAAAACTGAGGCCTGGTGGTTTGAGGCAGGGTTATGTGGGGGCTGACTTAAAGACGTTTTTGCTTGCCAATGTCCAAATCTCCAGAAAATGGCAGTATAACCCATTATTACATTCTTGTGTCCTTTAATGGACGTTGAAGAAACAACTATTTGTAAAATATCTTCATAATCAGAAAGCAGAAAAGTACCAGTATAGCACTATATTCCATAGACCAAGGCCACTGCTTTTGTAAGTGTCAACACAAAAGTAAAAAGGTTGCAGTCTGAAAACTAGTACTTTTACTGGCTATGATGCACAGAAACAGCAAATAAACCACCCTTAACTGACAGCTTACTCATCTTCCAAAAATAAATAAATGTTGGGATTAGAGAAATTCTAGTATAATAAGTTGCTACTTGATAAGTACCAAACGGGCATAACTAGAAATCACAGGACCCCATAGCAAAATTCTGTATGGGCCATGTGATTTCTAGTTACGCCCCTTGCAGAGCCCTCCTGAGATCCCAAACAACCCACCTGAGACCCTGCAGAGCCCACCATAGACTCTCTATGGTGGGCTCTGCAGGGTCTCAGGTGGGCTGGTCACACCCCTGCACACCTCTCACCTGTCAGCCCCGATCCGCTGTCAGCCTCCTCGACAGCCAGGCCCCGCCTCCTCCTCCACAATCACTGGCAGGCCCCGCTTCCTCCTCCTTTGCCAGGCCCCACCTCCTCCTCCACTGCTGACGCTGGGCCCAGCCTCCCCCTCTGCAGCTGCTGGCTCTCACTGACTCAGCAACGGCTTCGAGGAGGAACGCGCTGCTGCACAGATCACTGACAGGTTATCAGTGATCTGAACAGCGGCGCGTGCCTGCTCACAGCCGCCGGTGACAGCCAGAAGCCTGAGATGCCATAGCGACCCAGGCAGCCTGGATGGTATCAGGGGGACCCCTTTGTTCCTCATCCTGGCTGGGCCCCCCTGTGCCCCTGCCCCACAGCGGCCGCCTAGGTTGCTATGGCGATAGTTCTGCCACTGGTACCAAAGCATGTCTGCTCTTCTCAATAGCATCATCTTTGGGGCAATTTAAGTTTAATATGTTGTCAATTTGTCTCCTAAATACATGTATTTATTTAAACAATCTTTCAAATAAAAACCTCACATATCCTGTAATGATTAGGGAGTTAGCAGTTAGAGAGCTAGAGTAAACTGGCACATAAAATGCCAAAATTTGGCCTAGTATCAACTGTTTCAGTTACCCCTTGACAATATATAGTTACAGGTGAATACATAGTTAATATTTAATTTAAGCAAGCTAAAATAATTTTTTTTGTCCTGATTTTTTATTGAAAGTAAAATATATCTTTAAATTGTTATCATAGTTATTTATTATCCCCTAAAGACATGCTCCTTAGAAATAATCTCAAAAGCTTACCAGTAATGTCATTTCTACCACCACCAGGGGGCCCCATGGCCGAAATGAACTGGATGTCCACAATATCCAATCGCGAAGTGTCTTTTCTATCATACCAATGTCCATGGTCAATCCACTGTCTCAGTAATTCAATGGGTGGTTGGGCTCCATAAACCTCTTTTGCTGGCATATTTAGATCATCTGTCAACATAAGTACAGGGCTTATATAATGTGTTCAAAAGTGTACTCTTCATTACATCTAATACTTTATGAATTTTCACTATGATGATGATTATGATGATGACTCTTTAACATCATAATTAGCCAGTCACCAGGATAAACCTTTCAGATGCAGCACTTTTTTTCCACTACTTTCAAGAGCATTTAATAAACATTAGCCTGGTGTTGACCAGGTGTTTGTTAAAGTCTTCTAAATGCTTGGTAACACGAGAGATGATGGTAAATTAAGTCCACCTCTTCTTCCATTAAGGGTTAAAAAGAAATATCCTGGGTCACATAATGTAGATGCATAATAGAGTCTGTAGATTGTTGTGCAGAGGATATTCTCTCCTGGGAGACTTCTGGGCAATTTCCTGCAACAAAAGACCTCTGAAAAGCTACCTGGCTGCTAGTCACATGTCATGTTACGTAAAATGCTTTTTTTTAAAGCATTTACATACCATTTCAAAAGTGTTCTAAAGTGCTTCTGTGGGGTTCCAACCATTTCTCTGTACACCAGAGACCACTGTATGCTCATTTGGGGCAAAGATTCACCTCCTTGGTTGTCATGGCCAAGATAATGACAGGAAATCCAATGTTAATGGCAACTAAAAAAAGGAATTCAATCGTGTGGTTTCTTTTGTACAGTTGCAGGGCTGTATAAAACTGTATTTCTTGATTAAAGTGTAAGTGTAGGCAAAGAGACAAATAGAGTTTAAATAAATATTTGCAAACTTTTCTACCTACCAATAAATATGTAATTCTGTTTAGCCAGTTGTATACCCTAGACAACCCTTCGATAAAATAATAAAAAATGTCCTGACCATTTCAATTTCTCCTTTGAATTGAAGCAATACAACGTGGTCCGGCCTGAATAGACAGTTAAAAGAGAGCTCGAGGCAAATCAAATCTTAACCCTTGCAGAGGGGATGCCCCCACACAGCAAGGGTTAAGTGTTAATTTTGTCTAGGGAGCAATATCGTTTCTATCTGCCAAGGGCACTCATCAACACCAGTCTTTGTAAATATTATTTACAACACTTCTGTGGCTGTTATATCTACTTGCAACATGGTAAAACCAGTTTTATCAGAATTGACAAGACTATTCATAATTTACTAGTGTTCATTTAATCTGCAAGTGAGAGCAAGCCCCAGCTGATTTATGTTATTTATTTTCTTAAGGACATTCAACCTTAGAACATTTGGTTTTCCCCTTTTTCTCACTAAAGCTGGTGAATGGAAATTGCTATGCAAATAACTATGCAATTTTTTTTTAATGAATACATCTCCAGTTCACACCACCAAGAGTGCGTTCCAGAGTATTCTGCCTCTGAAACACACTGGAACACAACCCGGCCTCCTCCCTGCATTCAGGGGTGTGGCGGTGCAATGAAGGCAATAGCACCGCAGCCACGTCCCCCGCCCGCATTGCGATCACCCTCCCCCGAACGCGTGGCACATTAGTGCCTGGGTTCTAGTCCAGTGCGATCTGCAAAAATAGTGCATGCAGACTAATGTGCCACATGTTTGGGTGCGGGCGATCGCACTGCGGGTGGAATAGCTGCAATGCCATTGAGTTAAATGCACTGCCACACCCCCTCCCACCCCTGAACGCAGGGAGCCGGCCGGGTTGCTTTCCAGTGCGTTCCAGAGGCTGAACGCTCTGGAACGCACACTTTGTGGTGTGAACTGGCCCTTAGTTTGTGACTGTCAATCTTATCTGAAAACACTGCAGGGGGTGAGAGATGAGCCTGGGAGAGTTTGCATCTGAGCTGGAGTGGAAGTACAGTATGTAGTCATATGAGAGTATCCATAGCTAAAAGTTTTGATTACCACTTTTAGATCAATGCAATTCATTCTAATGTAAAAAACAATACAATTAGCAACATGGTGTCAATGATTAAGATGATTAAAGCTTGTGCTCCCTAACATAATGTAGCACAGTGTTAATAATTGTCAAAAGGCTACATTTGTATACAGCTAAAAACTAGACATTCGAAAAATGTGTTCAGTTTCAGATCGATTAACATTTTTGGGGGAGTTTGGATTCGAATTCGACTGTTTGTTATTCGGAATTGGATCAATTCCAAATTTTCGTTTTCTGTTTGGACTGATCCAAATTAGTTTTTCGGTTTGGATCGATCCAAATTTTTTGTTTTCGGTTTGGATCAATTTGAATCTATTTGGATGGAGATTATAATGTTGTTAAATATTAACATTGAAAAAAAACCAGTGTGGGGTCGGTAGGAATTTTAGGGGGTACCCCATGCCAAAAACAAAAAGTGTGGGGTCCTCCCAAACTCCCTTACCAGACCTTGATCTGAGCAACAGGAAAAGGGAGGGGAATTATGTGGCCCCCCTTTGCATCATACCAGGTCACTTGCCCTTCCACACAACCCTGGCCCGGTGGTTGTGGGGGTCTGCTGGCAGGGGCTTATCTGAATCTGGGTGCCCCCTTCATAAAGTGAATGAGTAAGGGGAAGTTGTTACCCCTACTCATTTACCAAATCAACAGTAAGATAGTAAATAAACACGCCACACAGTTTTGATTAAAAACACAGTCCTTTATTATTTAAAAAAAAGTCCCACAATGTAAATCTATGGTCAATCACATCATCCAGCGATGTAGATCCTCATCAATCACAACGCCCGCCACTCGCTGACTCAACAAAAGGAAAAAATCCTGCTCCCATGTCCGCACCTGACTAACAGCGGCCGCAAGTGACAGCTCTGCTCTGGAATGTAAACAAGAGGAAGCCCAGTGATGTCAACTTTGTTTACATTACATTAGGGGACCTGTTGCCAGCACGGAAGGTAATCAAAGGGGTGGGGGCAAGTCCCTGACATCAGTGGACTTGCTCCACCCCTTTGTTTACTTGCGGCCGGTGTTAGTGAGGTGTGGATGTGGCGGTGGGGATTTTTTATTTTGTCGAGTCGAGTGGCAGGCATCATGTTTGAGTGAGCATGGATTTACATCATGGGACTTTTTTTGATTATTAATAAAAGACATGTAAAAATTGTGTGGTGTCTTTACTTATTAAAGGACTTTTCAAACAAGTGTGGTGTGTTTATTTACTATCCCTTTACACATTTATGAGGGGAGGCGGCATATGGATGCCCACTTTATGAAAGGAGGGCACCAAGATTTAGATAAGCTCCCTTTCCACAGACCCCTACAACCACCAGGCCAGGGTTGTGGAGAAAAGGCCCTTGTCTTCATAAACATGGGGACCCTGCCCCATGTTGAGGGCAAGTGGCCTAGTATGGTGTGGGGGGGTGGGGGGGAACACACGATTATCCCCTCTCCTTTACTGCTCTGCCAGGCTCCTGCTCGAATTAAGGGTCTGGTAAGGGTTTTTGGGGGGACCCCACACTTTCTTTTTTGCATGGGGTCCCTCCTAAAATTCCTACCAGACCTAAAGGGTCTGGTAGGAATTTGGGGGGACCCCATGCTGTTTTCTTTTTTCATGTTTAACATATCAGTTCATTTCGAATGACATTCGGACAAAATGCAGATGCATCTGAATTTTCGTTATTTGGATACATTCAAATGTGTTATTTTTGCAATCGGAAATTTGGATGCATCCAAAATTTTGATACATTTGAATTCAGAAATTCAAATGTATAAAATTTTTTATCAATTTGAATTTGGAAACTTGGATGCATCCGAATGTCTGAATTTAAAGAAATTTGTTCGAATTTCAATTTGCAACAAAACTGATATGTCGACTAAAAAGCCCTTTATTTAAGCCAAACTAAGGCAATTAACAGAATGTGTTTCTGTTATTTATGAATTTTATAAATTTGCCTGTGCATATAACTCTGAAGGAGTGGTATGCTGCTTTAATTTTTTAACCTGCACCAAAATGGGGACATCTGGAAACTGGTTATTGTGGCTCAGTAACTGCTGACTCTGTTCTCAATTTAAAGAAATACGTATTTAAAATTGTTTCCTTACCAACAAACACAACAGCTTTTTTCCCTACTGGGGGACCATATAGACCTTTTCTTCTCCTATCCAGCTTGGAGAAGATGATATCCTGGGTCTGGTTTGCAGAAGTTCTTGCCGAGAAATTGATGCAGTTGGCAATATACTTATCTTTTGGAAGTTTTATCAAGAAACTGTTTGTTATTGCAGATTTCCCTGTTCCAGTGGGTCCCACAAACAGTATAGGAACTGAATGTTCTACATACGTGTATAAGAAAAACGACTGCCTAGCAGTTTCAATTGTTGGTATAATGAGATCTGACACCTAGGGAAACAGAACAATATTACTAATTAGGTCACAATTATGTTGAATAATCAGGATCACCGTACGAATGTATACACACTGTTTTTACTTTCATGAATAAATATGCTAGAAAACCTTATCTCTAGAAGCAAAAAGCTACCTTGGCAGTGGCAGAAATGGTTGTTTCCTCTTTAGTAATGTAATCAGTCCACATATTCCACTGTCCACTGGCATGTTTGTGAAAGTAAAAGTCATATACAGTTCCTGTAAGTCAAAAGATTTCTGTATTAATAGTGAGAGGTGGGATACTTAAAAAATAACCTAGCATATAGGCGGGATTAAGATTAAACACAATTATTAACACGAAACAAGTTTGAAAAGAGTAGAATCATATTATACAAACTAAAACATATAGATACAGCATCTAGAAAATGTAAAATGTTTAGAGTTGTATGTACATAAAAACACAACGTCATTCCTGTAGATTTAAGTTTACCTCTCTCTGGGAACAAGTTGTTCTTGGTCAGTTTAACACTCTTTGGTCGAGGGTGCTGATCATCTGTTCCCATCAGGATGTTTCGGTAGAAACAATCAAACTTCTTCCTGCTGTCAGCATTTATGGTGCCACCAATGGTCCAAACCAAAGCGAAAAGGAAAAGACCTTGTAGCCACAAGGTGATCTGCTGACTGGACATGGGCTCTTTACCCTCCTCTCCAGAACTGATGATTTCATCTGAATTATTAGAAGATAAGTACCAACAGATGTAACCAATAGGAAGTACAGGTTTATTGAGCATAGATTTACAAGCAAAGTAACAAGTACACAAACCTCTGACACAGGGGCGGACTGGGCCGGGGGGCAGGGTGGCAATTGCCCCCCGGGCCTCTCTGATGCCACCGCGAACGGCCCTGCACAGCCCTGACGAGGCATCCCTCCACTACCAGTGTGCTTTACATTTCCTAAACCGATAAATACATTCACACTACTGTTACATGGATGGCAAAAGTGGCAGATGGGGGCGGGGAGAATGCGGGGAAGAGGCAGAGCGGGAGGGGGGCCAAGTTGCCGCACCATGGGCCTCTGGGTTGTACTCGCCCCCTGTGCTAACAGTTGCCAGTCGCCCCTGCTCTGACATAACTACTGACTTATCTGCATGTATGTGTTTATTTTCGGTTTTACACAGTATGATAAAATGCAATGAAATTAAACATTAACAGGGTTATTCACAAAAAGGTGAAGAGTATGGAGAAGGCAGGAGAAGTGAACATTCTAGCACAATCATAGTTGAACTGGAAAGTGAGCTGAATTGGAGGATTTTTCTAAATCAGCTATTTTGGCCTAGATTGTTCACTTCTCCTGCCTTCTCCAAACTCTTCACCCTTTTGTGAATAACCCTGTAAATATATGTGTGTGGCTGAACTATGAAATCCTACAAAGACAATTTTTACATTAGGGTACCAGTACATCAATATCATTGCATCCATCCGGCTTTACCTCTCCCTCATCCCATTCCTACTTTCATAGATGGAGAAAGTAAGGAAATACAAGCTCTATACAGAAAGTATCTTGGTGCTAACTTCTATGTACCACTACATCCCTGAGCACACAACCATTATGAAAAGATGCATGCTCCAGCAGAGACAGTGGTGGAAGGAAACATCTACCATACTTTGTTAAATTGGTTGGCCTATATGTATCCACTTCTATTCTCCCTCAAGTAATAAATAACAGACCATCCAAGTCTGAGAACAAGTGGCTCTGGGTATAATATAAAATCAAATATGACATATATAAGCGTTTACATTTATAAACCATACATGGTTTGAAATTTCCACAGTAGGTGGCCCTGTCTGCACCGTTTGATGCAGCATCCTTTAATAAGAAAATCGAAGGAGCTATTCAGAAAATTTTTGGGTGAACAGTGACGGCAACTAATCTGCTGCTGGCACTCTTCTGGTGATCTGACAGAGGCATACCCACCACTGTCAGAATACAATAGCCTAGCAGGAGATACATCCATCCACGCTGTTATGTAACAGGTTATGGCCAGCTAATATAACAGGGTATGGCCAGCTTAAGTGTGGTAAGTGCATTGGACTGCAATTTATTTAAGAGATAATAGATTATATGAATAATTACATGTTCTATGTAAAGAGCTTTGAAATATGTTAACATTGTGTTAATGAATGCAATAGATACAGTAGAGAGATGCTGTAAAACAAGAAAGATGATAATTTAAAGGAAGACAATACAAAAAAATATGACAGGTAAGAAAAAAGATAAGTGGATATATCAACACATATAGGTATAAACATGGATATAATATACTGACGTCTGCCATGCACTGGTATAAAAGCAGCAAAAAAAATTAAAAAATAAATAAAGCATATTTATCAGGAGAAGATTTAAAACAAATCGCCTTCCAGGGTGTAATTTCCTGTGTCTAAAATTTGTCACAGGAATATCATAGATCAGCTGAAGAAAAAACTGTTGTAATATGGTTAAATTATGAAATGTCTTATGTGAATATCTTCTCTCCAAATTCAGTGTAACAGTCTTACCAAGCAGGCAGGTGTATAGTCTCATCATACTGTATGTCAGGTGGATAGGAGACGTCTGTACCACAAATTTACATTCCAGATGGATAAAATTCAAGCAAGGCTGAACAAGCCAGTCAAACATGTCATTAATCTGAAAGTAAAATCAAGTACGATGTTTGGAAATACTATCACCATAAAGCATAAAGAAGCAAACTGCAAACCCCTTAGAACAAAACAGAAGCCTAAAATACATGTCATATTGGGAATAGATGATAAGCTAAGCCCTATGGTATGTTTTTCCTAAACTGAGACCATACACAATATTTCAGTGCCAAAATTATTTTCTTTTATGTGTCCAAGGGGAGATGTATGAGAGAGCTGCTTCATGTATACTATATGTCCTACTATTTGCCCTAGACAAAGTATATCTTCAAAATATATACAGTGTATACAGTTATTTCTATATACATGGCTAGGCTATAGACTCATAACTATTTAACATTTCTTAATGAGCAGTAAATCAGGTTTCAAACAAGCCCTCCCTGACATCTGTAGCTGCAGGCACTGTGAAGCAATTCATCCTCAAATGTTTACAGGGAAAACTTTCATGTAGCTCAAGTCTTTCATTCAAGCAGCTCAGCTACCTCTGTTCCTTCCTCTCAGCAGTGACACTGCCGCCTTCCAGCCTTATAATTTTCTTTGTAATCTAAAAAACGCTTGTTCACACCAAAAGCAGACCAGATCTGCATGAGTTTCTGCACACGCAGTGCAGTGTGTTTTGCCTTGTTTTGGCCGCGTTCAGGGACGTTTTTGTGGGGGGAAAAAATGTCTTTCTTTTTTTTAGTTTAAAATGGGCTTTCAGTGCGTTCCAGTGCTTTTGCATGCGTTCCAGAGCAGGAAAAATAGGGCTTGCTCTGCTGCAGTTTTTTTACATGCTCTGGAACTGAACGCTGCTGTGTGAACTAGAGCCCAGAATACCATTGGAATACATTGGACGCAGTTTTGATCCGGTCTGTAACTGCTCTGCTCCTGGAACGCGCATGGTGTGAACTAGCCCTTAAACAGAAGCTCTTGCTCTGTGTAATCTGTATTACATAAAGATAGTTTAAACATTCTAGTCAGAATGCACCAATCGATACAGAATTATTCCAAACTATTGTCAAAGCATAAATTAAGGCAAAAAAAGTATTTTATACATCTCTGCAATGCATGTGCATTTTCATATGTTTTATTCCAGGGGTAGCCAAACTCCGGCCCTCCAGCTGTGGTGAAAATACAAATCCCATGATGCATTTCTCTCCAGGAGTCATGTCTGTGGCTAGGAGAACCTTGCAATGCCTCATGGGATTTGTAGTTCCACCACAGCTGGAGGGCCGGCGTTTGGCTACCCCTGTTCTATTCCTTTAAATATGCTGCAAGTACAGGAAAACAATTGTTGATGTGCCAGAAATAATCGTGTGCTCCTACCTTCCCCTTTGACATGACAACACACAATATTAATTCCTTATATGCTAATGTGGGGTTCCTCACATAATAACAGGTTAGCTTGGTAGAATGACTTAGCAGAAATATGTTATTAGATTAAGTTGCTGTTCTCTCCTTAAAATGTCTTGTTGTTGTTCAACGCATATAGATAGTCTCAAAGTTCTGCAGCAAGAGTCTGGGTTATGGTCAAGCTGATAAGGTGCTCCAAAATAACATAAACTAATATTTATTTTGATTGATAATTTGAGTATGTGCAAATTTTTAGGTAAATGAGGTAACATGCAAATGTTTATATTTGGATCGTCTTATATGGCAACTGTCTCTGATTGGAGCTTATAAGTCTCCCTTTAGGTGAAGACGCCAGGTTCCCTGGAACACTATATCTAGAACCTCCTTACATGTTAAGCTCTGTTTTCTCAAATTTACTTTTATTTTGTACCTTTTCTCTTTTAAATAGCTGTTTTCCTTATCACTGGAGACCATTACTTGCAACAGAGGTTCGTGGATCTGCGCTCTGAAGGTGTGGTTGTTTAATGCAGGTGTGTACACCAATAGTAAGCCTATAATTTGGGGGGTCAAAACAATGGAAACTTGACAATTTGGCTCCCAGACAACTCTTATGCTTTGGGTCTTATGTTTAAAAAGGTTGAGCTTTAGATCACTGATCTAAAGCGTGTTTTAAGTAGAGGTATTTATCTACCTATGCAAGCTGGATTAATTCGGGCTTTCTTCATGCTATGAATTTCAGGTCAATGGCTATCCAGTACACTTTACTGATCTCAGGATGTCTTTAAAGGTGCCCATACACTGCACGATTCCCATACGAGAATCGCTGGAAATCCCGCGATCGTACGATAATCGTGCAGTGTATGGAAGCGATGCGACCGTTCCTAATGTACGGTCGCACAACTTTTGTATATCGAGCATGTTGGAAAACCAGTCGTTCAGCATTGCAGTCATCGGAAGCCCGCCCCTCGTACGATTCCCAGCGGGTTTTCCAGCCTGCTTGTTCGACTGAAGACGTGCAACCGTACAGTAGAAACGATCGCACGCCTTCCATACACTTTGCGATTATCGTATGATCGCCGGATTTCCCGCAATTCTCATACAATAATCGTGCAGTGTATGGGCACCTTTAGAGCAGGGGTAGCCAAACTGTGTCCCTCCAGCTGTGGTGAAACTACAAATCCCATGATGCATCTCTCTCCGGGAGTCATGTCTGTGGCTGTGAAAATCTTGCAATGCCTCTTGGGATTCATAGTTCCACCACAGCTAGAGGGCCGGAGTTTGGCTACCCCTGAGTTAGAGAAATCTAAAAAGTAAGAAATACTTTATTTTTTTTTAAATTTGCTGTATGCTGTGTGAATAGGAATAGGTAACAAACATATAGTGGGACCATGGTTTTTGGATATTAGGTTTGTGGATGTTAACACCCTTTCAGTTTACGATGGTATAGCAAGTGACCTCAATGGGGAGAACTGAGTCTAAAAAACACAAAGGGGGGGATTTATCGAAACTGGAGAAGACAAAATCTGGAGCAGTTGCCTATGGCAACCAATCAGCTTATCTCTTTAGTTTGTTCAGTTAAGCTTTGAAAATGAAAGATGGATGCTGATTGGTTGCCATTCACAGCTGCTCCAGATTTTGCCTGTTCCAGTTTTGATAAATTCCCCTCAAAGTCTTTTGTCTTCTTGAGATCTCTGTTGCTGACATACAGTTTATTGCCTTATACAGTATGATCTAACAGTGATCCTTGTGTCTTGAAACCATAGCAAATAGCCAGCCTGTCCGTCTTTTCCTAAAATGGTGCAGTCTGTTTTACTACAAAACGTACTGCATCCACAATACTGATATTTACAAATAACTGGCACACTAGTTAACTATAACTACATATGTGCATTTATAGCATTATTAAACTCTAAAATTCAAACATAATAAGTAAACGGAAGCAATATATTTCCTGTTATGTGTCAAATGTTGGAAATAACCATCACATAGGCTCTAAGCATCATAAATTATAAACCAACAACGCCATGATCGATTCTAGATACATACTCATCAGCCATTCTGCAATGGCTCCCTGCAGGCCAGCAAACAAGTTTTACGGTTTACAAATTAATTTTTTCTGTATTGATATTTGTAAGGCATGTCACAATTTAATCAAGTCTTGTGTATGTGTCATCTCTTACTTGCAATAAGAAACAATTCTGCTGAATACTTGACAGCAAATCACCAAAGCTGCGGCCTGTGTAGCGTGTATTGAATTAATTTTGAGTCACTCATTCACTTACCAATTCCTTGTGCTCAGTTGTAAGGATTTCAGGTAGCGTCTTCATGTAGGAATCTTTCAAAGGTTTCCATCCGAGCTGTTGGGGTTCCATATAGATCATCCCACACCTGAATGGTTAAAAAGATAGGAACACAACACCCTCAGGCAAAGGATAATGCATGCTGAGTAAAATGAGATAGGTAACACCCTTTCTGACCATCTGAAGTAAAATCCAATTACCTGCTCACAGTTGCTGGGGAAGCTTGCTCCAAGTCAGCAGGCTCGAAAATTAAGCTCATTTTTGCATTCATCTGAATTATTTCACCACTCATCAAGCACAGCTAAAAAACAAAGACAAAACATGTCAATGATATAAATATAATTACTGTAGATTAAACATTTTCAATACATCAAAACACCTACTAGGTATGTCATGCCTTGAGCTGGCATTCATTAAATCAATAGCATACAAACAAATCACATTTATTACTTAGTACTTTTAAAATGCTGTGCTAAAAAAAGAGTGACGTTCATGTATTTGAATGCACTGTATCACTCAATAGAGCAGTTTCTTAAATGAACTGGCCAAAATTCTCACAGTGGGTGCCCCTGTCCGCACCTTTCCTCCCTTGAATAGTTGATTGAAGGAGCAGGTTGGAAGATTCTCGGCTGAACAGAGATTGCAACCAAACTGCTGCACGCTCCCTTTGGGCATTCTGACAGTAGTTGTGGCAAAAAACCAGCAGGGTATTCGTCCATCCATGCTTGTAAGAGGTGATGGAGGAATCTGTTATATTTTCTTCGTTCAGCCCACAGGTCAAACAAAGTAAATATAACTGTGTATACCCAGAAGGTCATAGACAGGCAGATGTCTAGATGAGAACAATGGTCAGTGGGAAAACTACCTGTCTTTGAACATGCTACAATGCTATAAAATGATTATCTCTGTGACATGGCTGGTGGGTGTTAGCAGCATAAAAGGTGAGATATTTTCTCCCTAGAGTTTTCCAACAAAGTGGCAAATATGTGTGTATGATAACAAGCACTAAATAAATAGCTGGAAGAGCAAATTGTTGCATCCTAGAGAAGCACTACAAAGCCAATCCTTGCCTGATCATTGCTTGCAATCTGCAACTCCTGCACACATCAAATTGTGTATAGTCACTCTAAGTAATTCAGTAACCAAGACTTGAAATTTAGACAACATACTAATTGTTTTAACATCAAAGACTGGTGGGTACAATTATAAAGACTAAGGGGGTTATTCACTAAGGTGGTTATTCACTAAGGGGGTTATTCACTAAGGGGGTTATTCAGCCGAGTGATAAACCCAGCCAAAGTGAAGTGAGCCGAACGCTGTTCGGCTATTTACTTCAGTCTTGTATGGCTGATTTCAGCCGTACGTCGGCTAAAATCAGCCGAACATTGGCTGCCTTCGGTCAGCCTAACATGCTCTGTATGTTCGGATGAGCCGAAGTGCAGAAGAACTTCTACTCAGCTGATCCAACATCTGGATCGGCTGAGCGGAAACTCTGGCAGCTCACTCGCTGCCGTTCGCCACTATTCTCATAGGGACCGAATGGCAGTAAGTGAATAGCAAGATGCTGCCGAGTGGCATTCGGCTCGGCTATTCTGCCCCGAGGTACTGAACTGAATAGCAAAACAGTTAAATAAAAGTAAAAAAAAAAATTGTTGAAAAAATATTTTAAAAATGTAGGGCTGGGGAAATAAACGATTAATTCCTCGATTAATCGTTAAACTTTTTGATGGATTACAATTCTTTTGATCAAAAATGAAAAGACTCACCTCTCCGCTGGCTTCCGGGAGTCCCGTCGGAGACATCAACGTCACCGCACTCCTCCCCCCTTTCCCAAGTGGCTCCGTCGGCTAACGAAGGGAAGGGGGTAGGAGTCCGGTGACGTCGATGTCCGTTACGTCACCGGACTCCTCCCCCCTTCCCTTCATTAGCCGACGGAGCCACTTGGGTCGGTGAGTTTGCCCAAGAAGCTTTCTGCACGAGCGCCAGCCAAGGCATTGGCCTATACACATACAGCACAGCAATGAAGTAATAAAATGAACTAGGATCACACTAATCCAGCACGTTATTATTCTGAGTTGCCCCACTCAAGCGGTGGCCATATTGAGTGGGGCACGTGAGAATAATAACGTGCTGGATTAGTGTGATCCTAGTTCATTTTATTACTTCATTGCTGTGCTGTATGTGTATAGGCCAATGTAGTTGGATCTGTATGTGCGTTATAATTAATCGAAATTAATCAATTAATCGATTTAAAAAAATTTCGATTAATCGAACACGAAAATGTTAATCATTACCAGCCCTAAAAAATGTAAACAAATACCCTAGTACAATTAAAAAAAAAAGAAAAGATATTTAAAAGAAAAGAAAAAACAATTGGGCCAGCCAATAAGAAAACTGTTTCTTATTGGCTGGCACCTGCTAGAGTCTTCTAGTAGGTCCTGGCCAATGAATAGCAACTGGATGGAGCTGGCTGCGACGACACGGCTGGCTCCGCCCAGTTGCTATTATTTGATGACAGATCAGCGTCCCCAGGTCATTTGGGGATGCTGATCTGCTATTACACCTGGGTGAAGGGAGCCTTGAGATCACGTCTGGCTCAGCCCCACTGTGATTTGAGGGACAAACAGTCGGCCCCTCGGCAGGCCGTTCTCCCCGCTTTGGCTGTCACTTCGGCTCAGTCGAGCTGAAGCATTTGCCTTAGGCTTGGCTAAGCCACTCGCCCGCTTTCGGCTGCTGTACGGCCTATTATGAATAGCCTGTACATCAGCCCTTCGGTTTGACTGAACTGAAGGCCTCCGACGGCCGAAGAAAGCTGAAGGATCAGCCGAAGCTATGGCTGGATCCTTCGGCTCTTTAGTGAATAAATAGTGTTTTTTCTTAGTGTATTTGTTTTAAATTACAGTGAATGTGTGGTGAATGTCACATTACCTGCTTTTTAAATATGCTCCTAGGTCTTATCATGAATTAACAACACAAAGTTGCTATTACCTTCTTATTGTCATCCAGGACAGTGTTCATATTCTCTATCCAGACAGCATCTACAGGGCCATCAAATATAATCCATTTCCTGTCATCTGTAGTGGAAGAAGCTTGTTCTCGAAAAGTAGTTGCCAGTACTCCATCTGTCCACTCATGACTTACTGGGTCAAAACATCCATATAATTGTCCCATAGTAATGGCTTTAGGATTGATCACTTTAAACTCTACAGCATACTCATCCATTGATTTGGCTAGGAAAATAAGAAAACAAATATATTAAAATTGATCACTTTTTGTATGAATGTCATAATTTATTGAATTTCAAAACATCATTTAGTTTGGAGTGGCGTGTTTTCAGACTAATGTACTTTATATATTTTTATAACTAACATACAATAAATTATGTCTGTAGAATGTAATGTACATTCCCCCATAAATTGCATGCCTGTTTGCACTTCCTGGCAAGAAAAAAAAAATACTTATTACTGGAGCTTCAGAAAAACATTCCCTCAGTCTTATCTCTCATCAGTTGGCATTCTTTCCAGCTATCAGTATGGAATACACAACACCTATCCCACATGTAATGGAATAGAAGAGATGGGGGCAGTGTTCTGTAGTCCTTTCCTAGGGTGACAACTTTGCTTCTCCATAGATACAGTACAGTGGGTGAGCATTTCACCCTAGGCCAGGAAGTGTGTTACTGGCGATCGCTAGTTGAAACTTAAGGAGCAAAAGCCTGTAAAAGAGAAAACGAATGCAGCCACAAATATTGTTTTCTTGGGTTTAGATACACTTTAAAAGAGAATTCATAAGCAATGTAATTCCGTGTGATTATACTGATTGAGAATCCACTTTAGCATGCCTTAGGTGCTAGGGATGCACCAATACTGATATTAGTTTCGTTGCCAAAACCAAATATTTGGGAGAGTACCCGTACTCGCCGGGAAGCCGGCATCATGCTAGTGGAAGTACCAGTATCGGTAATCGGCGAGTACCGATAAATAAATATCGGTACTCGTACTCAATACAGAAAAACAGCAACCCTATTAAGTGCTATCACTGTCTGATAAACAGATTATTTTCTGAATAGTGTCTTTGTTTTGTAAGTGTACATCTTGTTAGATCTGTCAGCAATGGAATTTAAACTTCAGTTTTGTTTAGAGAAACATATACCAGTGTCTTAGGGAATTAAGATGCTTAAGCTACGAAAATAATTTTATTGCTCCTTATATGAAGTTGTTAATAATATGCCTGCTGCCTCTAATAGTTTGTTAGGGGGTGGTGTGAATAAAACGGAATACTAAGAGGGAGTTAAGGTGGCCAGACACTGCACAACCCTCGCAAGACAAAAGTCAGGATAAATCAGGATAAGACCTATTTTATATCTGTTACATGTTCCCATTCACATTGCATAGCTCAAACATATAATTTGCTCTTTTCTGAAAGAAAAGTTTTCCTCTAAACTGAATATTCCTCTGGAATGTAAGGGAGCTCAAGGGGGCGCGTTTTCGATTACTGCAATGAGGGGCGGGCTTCCGATGACTGCAAGCGGGCAGTGTGCGCATGCTCAAAGGATTAATATTTAACCCTGTCGGTTCTGTGCTAGCAAATCTCATTATCAGTTAACTAGATTTGATCACCGTCTAACAAAGGGTTAACGATTGAGAAGCATTGTTGGTTAGAGAGGATGTTCACAGTGTCCTAGTTGTTCTTTAGGGACAGCCAGACTTTCCTTTCACTTAAGGTGGCCATACACTTTACAACCCTCGCAAGACTTTTGTCTTGCGAGGGTTGTAAAGTAATTTAAAAAACGTACGATCTGCCCATCTTGGACAGGCAGATTGTACTTGCGATCATCGCAAACCCACCCTGCTGAGGAGCGGGCTTCCGATGACTGCATTGCTGAACAGGCAGTGTGCGTGTGCACACACCGGCCTGTTCTGCAGTTGTCGAACAAGCACGCCACCAGTTGTCGAACAAGCAGGCTGGAAAACCCGCCGAGAGTCGTACGATTCTTCAGCCTGCTTGTTCGATGGAAGACGTGCAATCGTACAGTAGAAACGGTTGCACGCCTTCCATAAACTTTGCGATTATGGTACGAACACGTGATTTCCCCTCGATTATCGTACGATAATCGTACAGTGTATGGGCACCTTTACATTGGTAGTCTTATTCCCCACATATAATATAAAACATATTTCCCGAATTCACCTGTGAACTGCATTAACGCCTTCCTTAGACATGGTTGCTCTGGTTCTATATTTTATTCTCTATATTTTATACTCTGATTTACATTTTGTTGTATATCTTGCTGTTTTACATCCTTGTTTTACGGGACATGTCCAATATGCGATCTGACTGCTTATTGCATCACACTTCCATGTGGGCAATTGACAACCTGTACCTCATTTCGTGATACATAACTATGTTTATTAATGCATCATCTGTAACTATGCTCAAACTCTTTCAATAAACGCTATTGCTAAAAAAAAAATACAGAAATATAATAGGTAACCCTACAAATTTCTGATGGCAGTGACATCGCTTTGAATTCTATTGTCTTTAAACTTCTTCCCTAACATTGTCTCTAACTTATTGCCCTTGTGGAGTTGAGACTTATTAAAAATGTACTGTGGCCTTCACCTCCATCAAGTAATCTAGCTGCTACAGTGTTGACTCAGTTTTCTATCCAAAGCTGGGTATACACTGGCAGATTTTCGTACAAATGTTTTAACGAAAAATGTCAGCAGAACCTTGGATAACGCCATCAGAGACTAATGTTGTTCAACATTTCCTTTATTTTAACATTGAACTCCGGAAATGAATGGAGCTTCGCTTGGGCGAAAACATTTTTTCTAACTTGCTCCTACAATTCTTTACATCACTGTGGTCAAAATTGTTTGTCAATTTGACCCCATTATAAATGAGAAAATTGAACAAATGTTCTGAAAACAATTTGTTCAAACAAAATCTTATCTGTATTACCCAGATTAAGAGGTTAAGGATCGGGGATCTCTCATCAGTTGCTGTAAATGTCCCTATATATGATACTTTTCTTTTGATTGGCCTTAGATATACAGATTTCACTAATGTAAGCCTTGAAAGCTTGCCAGAGACAGTATATAGGGATATCACCAGTATATTAACCAGTTGTTGATCTTGGGGTTAATAAGGAATGCCCTGAAAAAAAAATTCATATTGACAGATGAGTAGTGCTTTGAGCTACCTCAGTGAAAAGTGTTTGCAGGCATTGATAAATATGTTGTAACAATTATACTCGTAAATTGTATTTACACAAACTTTTTATCTCAGATTAAACAGTGTCCTTTAATCTACATACATCAATTAAAACAACCTCAAAGTAAAAAAACAAAAGGGGTGCACAGGTATGAATGGGCACACATAGTTTCCCTTTTACATTCAACCGCAGTGCATTGATGTGAACTAGCCTCATAGAAAATAATGAGATTTTTACATGAAATGCATTTTCCCGCAGGAAAACACATACATTGTGCTTTATCATAATGGACAAGTGTGAGTTGGTCCAGAAAAAGCATATCTGACAACCAAAGTTTTGATATGTGAAAATAAGAAGCCAGAAAGCGATAAGGACCACCAGAGTTTGCCCATAATTAAAATGTTCATTTCTGATGGATTAAACCAGTAGTTGCACATTCCAATTGTAATTGTAAATGATTCACCAAAGAAAACCTAGATCGACCACACAAACAATGAATGACAGCCTTACCTGCATGTAAATCAGCAAGGGCCTTGGCCAGAACCTTATATGCACTAGTCTTTCCCCCCATGGGTTCCCCGACAATCATGAAACCATGGCGCACCAGCATCATTTCATAAATCTGCAGTGTTACAACAAACAAATTCAACAAAAAAATTTTTTTTACCACAAAAAAATATCTACCAATTTAATGTCTTAATAAGTAATAGGGGCATTACAGAAAAGAACCAGGGCAAAGCTCCCAAAATGAGATATAACAGTAGTACCAGAACGTACAGTAGAATAACACAGAATACATTTTTTTCATTGAAACTGTAAACTACAATAGGTTTAGATTAGATCATCATTCTCCATGCCAGCATAAACAAATATTCCATAAGCCCTAATATTCAAATCCTTATGGTAGCTTGTATACCAAGCATGTCAAAATAGTTTTTATGGGCCGCACGTGGCCCTCTAGCCCTAAATCAGTGGTTTAAGGATTCAAAAAAAGAATTTCCCCCTAACTGTTTTTCAGTTCATAATTTCTACTTCTTTACATCATTTTCTACTTAAATTCTCAAAATAGTATTACACGCTCAACAATTTTTCAAGAATGAATCCAGATCAAACAAATATGCATTGCCCAGCAAAGTTTTTCGTTAAATCGTTGCCTTAGCACTTACAGTCAATATGTTCCTGAGCAGCTGGTCTCCCACGCTCTCCACTTGCCACCCCTGAACTCTTTATAACAAGATCACAAGGGAAAGCACAAACTGTAGCAGCTGTCCCCCTATGAGCTTGGAGAGGGAAGGTAGGAGGAGGGGAGTGTCTTGCCTTGCTGTGTCTATGTGTTTGTGGAGATGCACACAGCTTACTGGCACACACAAAGATGGCTCCATAGGACCCTGCAAGGGAAATAAGCCACCCCAAAACAGGATATCAGGACAAGTGCTCAGAGGAACAGCTAATTCTGCAGGAACTGAAACTTTTAAACATCAAACAGCAGCATCCATTGTAATTGATTTAATTAGAATTTGAAATAGATTAAAAATCTTTAGACTTTAATATCACATTAAGGAAATCTTTTATGGTAATAAAATATGGTAATTTGCAATTTTTTAAACTTAGTTAAGTTCTAAAGTGCCATAATCTTTTTATTGAAATATGCAGGTGAAGCCCTTAATTGGACCTCTACCCTTTCCTTTTCTTTGATATTGATTTACGGTATATGGTAACATTTCTCTTTCTCCATATAAAATTAGTCCCCCCAATCAGTAAAAATGCTGTTAGCTATGTGTGTTCTTAGATGTAATCTTTCTATCATGAAAATCTTGTCTCTATTAAATTCCCATCCTACTCTGCATACTAGCTAAAATTTTAGATCATCCAGACAGGAGAATGTATGAACTGGCTGCAGTACTTAGAGAGCTGGAGAGCAGAAGAGAGAGATTTCTTTTTATCCTCCAGCCCTGGTGGTCTCATGTTTTGTTTGTTTTGAGAAGTGCTTAGGCAGGTCTGTAAGTTCCAGACTTACAGGGTTAAGGTTATCACAGAAGCAAAATCCTGGCTAAAGTAGCTATATAAGATATTGGAGACTGACAGAACCAGAAACTATCTGCAGAGAACATCAAAAGATTTTACAGATGCATAGCACTATTATTACAATTTTAATGGGGTTTTCTTAAACATGCATTACTCTATCCACCACACAAATAGTTTAGTTAAAGCTCTAACAACTATATTATAAACTGTATTGTTCTGTTTTATGTTATCAATTTGTATTCAACATTACCTGAATTATTTTTTCAATGAACCATGGAACAGGTTGCAAATTCATGTTTGCAATATTTTCTTTCATTGCATCGATGAAAAGGTCATAATCAGGCTTAGGTAGAACCACTCCAGGAAACAGATCAGAAATTATACCCTGAGAAAAGAAAACAGATGGCTTTCTAAAATGAAAAGAAATGTTCCTACAAAATGAATATTTATTTATACAGCATTAACAAACTCCCATTCCATAGTGACAAAATAAATTGAAGCAGCAGGATGGAAAATTGTTCTCTAACGAACAAAATTTGTTGGAGAAGCTATTAATTTCCAGAATCGAATGTTAAAGCCAAACAAAATATCAAACAACATTCTACATGTCTCTTATGGCTTTATGGAATGTCCTGATGACATTTTTTTGGATGAACGTTCATATGAAAATCCACCAACTTTAAGCCCACTTTAGCCTACAACAGCAGATAAGATAAAACAATAAGCCACAAAGCTTATAGTAATATACTTGTCTAATATCTTAATTTATGTACAGTTGAGGAACTGCTACAACATAATTGTGGTATATGTATGTTATTAGAGCTCTAACTCTTGAAAATGATAAACGTTTTTTGCTTTATAGTGTTATTAAAGAAAGCCATGCACACTATAAATACTACCCAAGCAACAACAAGATACTAACACCTAAGTAAGTAAATCCTGCCTCATTTTTTCCATGCTGAAAGGTTTTGCTCATCACCCAGCACTGTCTTATTAGAGAGTGCCACTGAAAAACCCCTATGTATTTTATTCAATGAAAATCTCTTTTAAACATTTGGTTATAGCAGATCACTAGCTCTAATTTAGAATGTAATTAGCACCAGTCAGGGAGATAATGAATAGATGTGCAAGTAATGGATTATCTTTACGTGTTCAGAAAGTGTGATAAAACATTTCTTTTACATTGCAGAGATTGAGAAAGCTTGGGGTTGATATTAGTAGGTTTACAAGTGTGCAGAAATATATCATGGTAAATTAACCAGTGTTGTTTTTTTTTTTAATACATGAATACAGAAAAGCTATACAATGAACACTAACTGGAATATGTATTCAATATGAGTGTCTCATTAAAGGTGCACTCTGCCACAGGGTGTAGAATCTCTTTGTCACCAGTGGTCGGTTTAGGTTGCCCGGCCTAAGGCAAGGGGTCTATGAAGTCACTGGTCTTCACCAAGAACTCCCTAAGTCACAGTTCTTAGGTCTGTCACAATGGCAACAGCAGAAAGGCAGACACATTAAGTGAAGTGTATAAACAAAAGCAAAGTACATACGCTCTCACATATTAAAGGAAAACTCTATTAAAAACTTTTTTAGTTTTGGATTGGAGTGGCAAACAGTCAGCACCTCTGTCAATGTTTGCTTACTGTGCTTTCATTTAACAGATTGCTCCTCGCTTTCTTTTAAACAGTGTCAGACAGAACAGGAACTGAAGGGAAATGTACCCAACAATATAAACATTTCTTTAGGTGAGTGGGGAAGGGTTAAAACCTTAGTCAGGTTTGTATTGCATCTGTGTCCCCATTGGGGAAATTAACCCTTACTTCCTATCCAGATAATAATTGTCAGACAGAACATTGAAGAAATAATCTTAATAAGGACACAGACACCATTTAAACCCAACAGATTTTCTAACTCTTCCCCATTGAATGCAACATACACAAACAAAAATTGGACTGAAATTGGGCTTCATTAAATGTCTTCATATTTCATACATGTTAAAAAGTGTACTTTCATTATGGCTGCCAGGAGTAGCTATAGTGAGGCTGAGAAGAAATGACAAATGAAGTGTGGTGGGACACACGGTATATTTGTGTGTGTGAGACTGAAACCAAAGTACTGATAGTCTGGGATGTTGAATTCTAGTAACAGCTGAGTCCCATGAATCAGTCTGTGTCACCAAATACATAAAGATCCTCCTCTAAATAGTTTTAATGAGTGCCTACAAAACCTCCTTCTGGTTCTTAGACCTATGAATTGCCTGAATGGTGGGTGGAGCTAAAGATTCAACAATGTGTCTCCGTCTGTGAAGTCACTGCTTGGTTCCAAACTTAAACTCCCAGCAGCCCTACTGAATGAAGTGCGCTGAGTATAGGCACACTGTCTGTAGTCCAACTGAGGGTGTGTGCGCAGAAGGGTAACACCAATGCTGTATTGCAAGGCAACCGGCATGCATTGTCCCCCTGCTACAGGAAGCCTCATAGGCAATAATGTGATGGGCAAGACTTCCAGGTAACTGTTAGGTGAATGGTTAAGCTATGATAGAAAAGACTATGCAATCTAGATGCACAGATGTATGTTACAACAGATACAGAAATGTTATTTTAGGGTTTGCATACATTATAAATCACTTGTGAGATTAGTTCAACATTACAATAAAATGTGCACACTATAGCTGATAGCATTGTGTTGTTGCCTAGGTTTATGTCATCACCTGAAAGAGAGGTACATCCTGTGCTAAGAATTTAGCCAGATTGACATCCAGCAGTGCACGAAGAAGAAGCACGCTCTCATCCTCTTCTGGATATTTAAGCTTCAGATTTCCAGCTGCAGTAAGGACAGATTTCACTGCACGCATTCCGTAGTCATAATGGTGCTGAGATGATAGCTGTTCAGAACACAGTCTGTACGTAGCGACAATCTTCTGAGCCAAGCTGAAACACAATAGCTCCATATTAATTTGCATAGTGGCTTGTGTAGCAGGGAGAAAATAGCAATAAACTAGGAATGCACTGATAAAAGTACTAGTATCGGTATTGGTGCCGAAACAGAGCATTTTCACAAGTACTTGTACTCATGAAAATGCACCGATACATACCCTGTTTCCCCGAAAATAAGACCTACTCCGAAAATAAGACCTAGTACTTTTTTGGGGAATTGCTAAAATATAAGACCTACCCCGAAAATAAGACCTAGTGTGTATTTTTTGAGCCAAAAAAAAATATAAGACAGTGTCTTATTTTCGGGGAAACACGGTAGCGCTGATGCCTGCACTTTTATCTTTAAATGGCTGCTCATTTAGTACAAGTGATCTGCCCAATCATTTGTAGAGCAGCCTGCTGGTCCGTTCCCCCCTGCCAGCCCCTCCCCTTCAAAGTCTGCCCCCCTTGCGCCCACTCCCCGCCATGGTTCCGCTCTGCTCTGTGATCAGTGACACAGGAGTGCTGTATTCACAGTGCTTCCTGTGTCAGCTGTCACAATCTGAGCTGTACGGAAGATAGAGCCCAATGCTGTGCTAGATTTTCTGTACTGGAGGGCAGGCTCATAAAGAGAACCTGTCACCTCTGAATGACAACAAGCCCCAATGTGATATCAATAAAGTTAAGAAAAAAAGTGATAAAAATACAAAATAATTAAACAAAAATTGACACGTCGAGCTTTAAGATTGTGCGTACCCGCAAAATTGCAAAAAACTTCCATACCCGAAATTGACCATAGGCAACGCTTTAAAAGCTTTTACTGCTCATCAGTTTAGTGTTATCAATGATTAATGGCCCTAGAATTATTGTTCTCACTGCAACGTTCACGGCGATATGTAACATGTGCGGCGTAATGGGCGCAATTGTCGTTTTCCCACGTACGTGCACCCGACGCATGCGGGTGGGGACGTTAAAAACATGTGGTAGCAAAGATATGTGACAGGTAAAGATGTAAACTGGATTTTTAAAAAATTTCTGTTCAACTGACCTTTTAACCACCTGCTGTCTGGCCGGACAGCGGTTTCTTGGATGCGGGTGGGCTTTTTTTAATGTCCCTTCCCGCCCTGCTCATGCCCACGCTATGTGGCAGGCACGAGCGGGAAATCAGCTTGAAAAGTAAACAGCTACCGATGGCTGTTTACATACAAGTGTTCAGGCGTCTGCAGAGAGGCCCGATCGATTGTAATATGTGTGCAGGTGTGCACACATACACGTCGCAGCCGCTGCTGGCTATCCAAAGCTACGCTGTGCCCAGTGTAAGCCTGGGACCAGCACAGCAGGTCTGTGACCGGAGATGAAATGGAGATTAGTACACGTTCTCCGTTTGATCTCCTCCTCCTCGTCGGAATGCAAGAGGTGATGTATATTACATCTCTTCCACATTCCTCTGTCACTCTCCAGTACAGAAGCTAGAGAGAAGCTGGTGAAGCAAGTCTCTGCTTCATCACCTTCTCTGGGGGTCTCTAGGTGACATTAGGGGTCTTAAAGACCCTTGATGTCTCCATAAAGAGGACCTGTCACTGCAAATTGGCTATCACATAGGGGGTTTGTTAGTCCCCTATATGATAGCAATAAAGTTAAGTGAAAAAAAGGTTAAAAAAAATGAGTTCCAAATTTTTTTTTTAAAGTCACATATAATAGCAGTTAAAAAAAAAATGTTTAAGTCCCCCGCTCCCACATAACCAAGCGTCGAGTGCCCCTACGTGCAAAAAAGCGACGATTGCACCAATTGCGCTGCACATGTTACATATTGCCGCGAATATCGTGAGCGGTAACAGCTTTTAAAGATTTGCCTATGGCCAAATTTAGGTATGGTAGTTTCTTGCGATCTCACGGGCACACACAATTTTATAGCTTGACATGTTTGGTGTCTATTTACCCAACGTGACCCCGTCTTTTATATTTTACCAAAAATTTGGGTAATAATAAATGTTTTATAACATAGCGTAGGGAAAACCGTTTTTTTCCCAGAATTTTCTGTACTTTTTTCATTATATAGTAAAAAATTAAAGTGGTGATTAAATACCACCAAAAGAAAGCTCTATTTGACCCCAAAACATTTTTTAAAATTAATTTCAGTACAGCGTTTCATAACTGAATAAATGTCAGTCAAATTACTGCAGCGCTGAATACTAAAAAATGGCCTGGACATGAAGCGGGTGTAAACACCCTGGTCAGCAAGTGGTTAAAAAGTCTTTCTGCTTTGTGCCCCCCTGTCCTGCTCAAGAGGTCAAACCCAAGTGCTGAAACTTGCAAAAAGATTGTTTAGGGCTAAAGCCTGCAATCTTATTAAGATCTATATTCAGTACTCGTAGATACAGCAAAGGAAATTAAGAGTGGTTTTGTTGGTTTTTTTTCTTAAATTTTTTATGCCCATACCAAAAAATAATAACAGGCATATATAAAATATTGCATATGAATATTTATTATGTCATTTTAATGAACCTAATATGTACAGATATTCTCTAATGCAATGTTCCTGTTTCCAAGGTTATCTATGGCCAAGAGTCAATTTGCATGAACAGAATCAAATATAGGCTGCATATAAAATGCATGAATGAGTATTAATGTAACAAATAACTTTAGCAAGTTAGAAAAACTCAGTGATTGGTAAAGTTGCATTCAGTGTAATGACTACTTCCTGTCTGCAATTAACAGTGGCATAATATCATCTGAGACAAGGTTTATTTGTAGCTCAAATTTGAAGACTAAGTGTATTTTTGTTTTTGTGGGGTGCATTACCAATAGAAGAGACCACCATTCCCAAAGACTGGCCTGTACAAGGGCAGGAACACTGTCTACATAAAGTCCATTGATAGTGCACAGATATGGGTGCCTGTATGTTGAGGTGAAGACAAATGTAGGGGCGGGGGTCAGCGTGCAAGCCATTATTCCCCATGAATCCAACAGAAACTGATCTTGTCCTTAGGTTGGTGTCTAGGCCTCATCCCTTCTATACATAATCATAGGATTTATTTCCACCAATTTGACCACACCCATACAAGTTGGCTTGCGGAAACAAGGCTCTTTTCTATTGCAATTCAGTGGCTATTACTGCTTGGGGTAGTATAGTGAAACTATCTAACGCGGGATAATTTTTCACAAAAGTACACTTATTACTTCTTTTCTTTTAAACAGTGCATCCCAAAAAAACCCCCCAAAAACAGGTAAACAACATGTTACTGTACTGTTTTAAATTATTGTTCTACAGAGCTTTTCTTTAACCAACCAAATATTTAAGTATTTGAAGGCTCAAAATCAGTCACTATCCATTTTGTGCTGTAAATCAGAAATAATATATATATTATCTATTACCATAAACTTATCTTTTCAGCTAAACCTCACAATAAACCAGACAACCTGCTGCTTGCTGGCATCACAATCCCCAAAACATCACCTTTGTAAATTGGTACACCCATTTGCTTATTTCTTTTTATCTGAAAAGGTTTATCTGTAACAAAACACATTTCAGATCCTTTCTGAAGGTATGGCATATTTCCTAATGTATTCCTGTATTTCCCGAATGTCAGAATATAAGGAGATTATCCAGATAAACAGTTCTAGTTTAATATGTTGTGTCACAGTGCAGAGTTTGTGGTTTATAAAATGTCAGAAAGTTTAATGATAGATTAACTTAATATTTTTGTGTTATAAAAAAAAAGGCCCTGAGGCTGTTGCAGTATGTATGTGAAATTGCAGATGAAAACATGTTAATTTTCTCCACTGAAAAAATTACTTCAGTCATGGATCAGAACTTGAGTTAATACTCGTACAGAGCAATTAAACTGAATGGTAACACAGTCCAAAATCAAAGTGTAAATCGCATTATACATTTTAGGCAGGGTGATTCATCTTCCAACTGCATTATTTAGTGGAGAACGTAGAGAATGGTCAGACAAAGCCTCCATTAGATCTTATGCTGTTACAATTATATTGGATACATGCATAATTTGAAACAACAGTCTTGTCTCTTATAGTGGGATTTTGATATTTAACATATATTTCATATTGGTATTAGCCCCTTGCTGACCGGGGTGTTAAACCCCCTTCCTGTCCGGGCCATTTTTCAGTATTCAGCACGGCAGTACTTTGACTGACATTTATTCTGTCATGCAACTCTGTACTGAAATTAACTTTAAACCATTTTTTGGGGACACATACAGCTTTCTTTTTGTGGTTTTTAATGACCACTGGTTTTTTTTTATTTTTTACTATATAACAAAAAAAGTTTCTGAAAATGTATCAAAAAAAATCTGTTTTCCGTACGTTATGTTATAAAACATGTATGAGTACCCAATTTTTGGGAAGGGGGGATATCCCCTGAAATGCGGAAGCAAGCTATGTAGCCTCTGAGGGGATCTGTCTTGTATCATCCATTCAGATATAACTATGTGAGTAGTTCTTTTATGTCAATTTTCAATTTATTTTAATAAAACTGTATTATACGAGAAAAAGGCGCTGTCTGTTTGTTTGTTTTGCATGTCTTGTGAAGAAACCCAATTTTTTGGTAAAACATAAAATACGGGTTCACGTCGGGTAAATAGGCACCAAACATGTCAAGTGTTAAAATTGCGTGCACCCGCGAAATTGGAAAAACACTACCATCCCTAAGGCCTTGTTTACACCAAATGCAGAGCAGATCTGCATGAGTTTCTGCACACGCAGTGCAGTGGGTTGTGCCGCGTTTTTGATGTGTTCCGGGCCGTTTTGTTTTTTTTTTGTTTAAAATGGGCTTTCAGTGCGTTCCAGACGTTTGCATGCGGTTCTGATGCATTTGCATGCGTTCCGGAGCAGGTCCAGAGCAGGTAAAATAGGGCCTGCTGCAGTTTTTTTTACCTGCTCTGGAACTGATGGCTGTGATGTGAACTGGAGCTAAAAATACCATTGGAATACATTTGACGCAGTTTTGCTCCTGCCTGTAACTGCTCTGCTCCGCGCTTGGTGTGAACAAGGCCTTAAATTGGCCATCGATGACGATTTAAAAGCTTTTAACGCTCATCAGTTTAGTGTTATCAGTGATTAAAGGAGAACTATGGGGTGAGTGCTTTTCACTCATCCTCATAGTTCTAGCTGACCTGTGACAATGAAACTGTCACAGGTCGGCTCAGTAGATTGGGAAGTGAGCGAACACATACTGGCGTTCGCTCAGTTCTCGATCATGTCACGGCAGAGAGCCGTGACAGGGGAGGGACTGGATTCTCCCCTCCCCTGTCCGATCCTCCAGCGCTGACTGGCGGAACGGACGGGGCGGGTACAGCTGGCTCTGACTCTAGATAGGCAGAGCCAGCTGTCACTCATGCAGCTGGGCGGATCCAGACATAATTGTCGGGATCCGTTTCAGCTGCGGAGTCTCACTATACCGCAAGCTGTAGTTTGCGGTATACTGAGCTTAGGGTGACGGGAGGACGCTAGTTTGTGTCCTCCCGTTACCCTTAGGAGAACTATGGGGAAAAGCCTTAACCCCATAGTTCTCCTTTAATGGCCCTAAAAAAATTGCTCACACTCCGACGTTCGCAGTGATATGTAACGTGTGGCATAATCATTGTTTTCACACATAAGCGCACGCGACGTGTATTTACGTTCATAAGTGCGTGCACGAGGGGAAAGAGAACTTAAAGATTTTTTGGGTGTTTTCTATTCTTTTTTAATATAAGACTTTAATTTTTTTTTTTTTACACTTAACGTGATTGCTATCACATAAGGGCTAACAAGCCCCCTATGTGGTAGCCAATATACAATGACAGGTCCTCTTTATGGAGACATCAGGTGTCTCTAATGTCACCTTGGAACCCCCAAAGAAGCTGATGAAGCAGAGATCTGCTTCACCAGCTTCTTCTCTGGCTATAGCAGCCAGAGAAATGATAGCTAAAAGCTGAAGTGATGTAATACACAGCAGTGGGGAAATGCTGATCTCTCCTCTGTTCTCAGTGCTAGTAGCAGAGGGGGGTGCACTGTGCGTGGTCATACAAGTGATCGGCTGGCTGTAGAGCCGGCTGAATGCTTGTATGTAACAGCGGGTAACAGCTGTTTACATTCCTGGCGGGATTCTGTTCAAGCAGAAAATCACGTACATGTACATCCACCCGCCGGGAAGCATCCGTCGTCCGCCCGTTTATTGACAATGGGCGGATGGCAAGGGGTTAATCAGCACAAACACTATTATTAATATTATTATAACTAGGTTACTGAAAGTTTTAGCCTTGCATAGCATTTCAGGTAGAGCTGCAACTAACAATTATTTTTATAATCAATTAGTTGGTCGATTATTTTTTGATTAATCGGATAAAACAAATACCATCTTTTATTTCAAATAAAGTACACAAATGGAGTGTTACAAATAAAGTTTACTTCAGAATATAACTGCGTGCACATTTTTTGCAATCGCACCACACAGGAATGCACAGCGTTGCAGTACCGCACGTACCAGTGCAGGCGATCACACTGCAGAGGCGGGAGGCGTGTTTAGGGTGCCTCTGAAATGAATGGCACTGCAACACACATCCTGCAGCAGCATTTGTCAGGCTGAAACCAAATAATACTATTATTGTTTTTCCCACCCGTATTTATTTTAATAACTGTATTATATTATACATTTTAATTAGTTTCATGCATTTAAAATAATCTGAATTGAAAAACTGATAGCACATTGGAGATGACAGATTCTCTTTAAGGTGACATTAGGAGTCAGTGTCACCTAGTGTCACCTTTCCACTTCAATGGAAAGGTGAAGTGGGGACACGGGGAGGAGCAGTGAAGTCAACCAGTGGAGACATGCGGAGCAGCAGCGGAGGCACTGTGGCAGAAGCGGAGGCACCAAGGGCACCAACAGGAGAATGCAGAGGCTTAGCAGTCTCTCCTCCCCACTAGGCAACGGCTGCAGACACAGACCACAGCATGCAGGGGCTAAAAGCAGGGAGAACGGGGAAGCAGAGCAGCGGCAGCAGGGGGGGCAGCATAGTGAGTTTTGGAGCTCTCCTCACTGCTGAGCACCGGCTGCAGGGGTCTGTCCCCCCTCCTATCACCACTGATAGGAGGGGACAATCAATCATTGTCAACGATTCTCATTATCAATTATCATCGATTACATCGATTAGTTGTTGCAGCCCTAATTTCAAATTAATAATGTATTGTAAAGAATAATAAGTAAGTAAACTGAATAGTTTTGCAGTTATATAATACCTAACTAATAGTGTATATTTGTGTAATAATAAATATATTACCAATGATTGTAATTATAGATATTATATATCTTTATTATCCTGATTCATAGTGATAACATCATATACACATAAAGTATAATACATATATAATGAGTTGTAAGAGTAAGCAACATGTAGAACATTTAGCTTTGTAGGTAGAGGAAACTAGAGTGTATGTAGGACATGTAGGCTTTGCAGATCAAGGTAACAAGTGTTCAATGACAGAAAGTCATAAACTCGTTTTTTTTTAACTTGGCTTAAGGAACATAAGGTTCAATGCCAAGACAGCTGTCCTCTAACTGTGATATAAGGAAGTCTTAACAAGACACATCTAATGTTCTTGACATGATCTAATACGAGTACAGGGTGGCATTATTATCTGATTTCTGGAAATAATTCAATGCAACACATATAGTTCTATTGTTCAAATACATATAAAAAAGGTCTGCGAGCCCATAATTATTGAACACGCCTGAATTGCTGCTTGTTCCTGGCCGGCCAAATAAACCCGCTTCTTGAAAATCTGCCTGGTGTCAATGCTCTGTTTATGCTACTTCACTCTAATTTAAAGTATGTTGTCCTATTTGGCCCTAGAAAATATGACTTTGCCCTTCCTACCATGCTCAGGGCTGGCACAGTGTATATGCCCTTGGCACTGTTTCTTCTTCTTACAGAGCATAGTTTGGTCAGGCTGAGGCAATAGAGAATAATAATAGTCTTGTTCTTCACTTTGGTATATGCACTGCCTAAACTGCCATTATTTTTAACAGTCGATCCAATCCATGCTGGGGTGTAAGAGGAAGAAACCGCACAGAGGAACTAAATACTGCACTGTCCCTAGGCAATGCAAAGACATTGTTGCTGATCTAAGTAAGTTAGTCATACAGGGTTATTAATGATGAGGCTGGAGATGGGCTTTATTTAAAAGGGTACACTTATCCTCTAAAATACCAATCCACAGATGCTGATATACGATACAATTCAACTGTTATGTCTGGTGATATCCAAACGGTCATGTATCCACATAATACTTCTACTGGAATTTGATGTATAGAACAGTACCTAAGGCTGGGTTCACACCTAGGCGTTTTTCCGCGCTTTCGCACTCGCGGAAAAACGCTCAAACAGGGAAATGCCATTATTTTCAATTTGCATGGTTCCCATCTGGGCGTTTTTCCGCGAGTACGAACGTGCGGGAAACCGCCCTACGCCCAAAGAAGTACATGTACTTCTTTGGGGCATTTTGGTCGGGTGGTTCCATTGGGATACAGCCATCGCGAATCACGGTAAGAAAAACGTGCATATTCAATCCGCCTAGGTGTGAACCCAGCCTAAGTGTAACCTTGTGGTATCTTCTGTACTCTATGTATCAATGCTCATGACTGTATCTATGTTATGTATGTGATGTCAGTCAATAAACGAATAAAAAAATAAAATACCAATCCATCCATCTAGTAAGGGTTTTTAGAGAGGAATTGCATTTCAAATTAAACAAATATGCAAAGTTAATAGCTATAATCATATTTGTGTTTTTCTTTTCAGATGCACTGAAATCAGTAATATCAGTAATTATTTTGAAATCCTTATGTAAAAATCTATTAATTTAAAATATTATTTAAAAGTTTAAATCTTTAAAACTTTGGTCCCACAGCAGAAAGTGAAATATGTCTCTGAAAACATCAGCCTTCTGTGAGTGCTGCACAGAAAACATGGAGAAACACCCACTCACCAGCATCATTCCCTAGAGAGTACCTTAGATCTGATAGGTTTCATCACTGACATTATAAAAATAGTATAGTCTCATATAAACCTGATCTTACCTTCTAGAATCCAGAAAACCCATGGAGTAAAGTGATATTTCACCAATAAGTGCATAGTCTGGGACCATCATGGCCACAGTTCTAAATAATGCCTGGGGAAAAAAAAGTAAAGTGTTGCTTGTAAATAATAAAATAATGGAGTTGATATACTCCTGCTTTGAGATTACATTTTATCCCACTCAGATGTCCCCTTTCCTTGAATATCTAATTTTAGACAAGCTATTTTTATGGTCGACCAGTAAAGCAGAATTGTGAAGTCCAGCATGCACCCAATTTAGTGGACACTGCCATCTGTAGCATCACAGAATTTCAGGGTGTTCTGATGCTAGAAAAAAATCTATGTTGCAAGTGAGGAGCACAGTACAGTTGCAATGATGGTTCCCACTGCTAACCAAGTGCATATACTGCTCTATACACCAATCAGCCATAACATTATGACAACCAACCTAATATTGAGTAGGTTCCCCTTTAGCCACTGAAACAGTCCTGACCCGTTGAGGCATGAACTCCACTAGCTCCACTAGACCTCTGAAGGTATGCTGTGGTATCTGGAATCAAGCCTTCAGTAGTAGATCCTTTAAGTCCTGTAAGTTGCAAGGTAGGGCCTCCATGGATAGGACTTGTTTTTCCAGCACATCCCACAGATGCTCGATTGGACTGAGACCTTGAGAATTTGGAGGTCGTTGATGTGTTCCTCAAACCATTCTTTTTTTTTGAAAAATCTTTTTATTCATTTTGCATAGTAAACAATTACATTACAGTAACATTCGGGCACCAACATAGCACCCCATTCATACGCAACAGTGTATACATTACGGCATAACGTATGCCAACAACCGTAAAGGACCATGCAAGGTCCAATAACTAACCCTCTGACCATAACCCTCCCCCTCCCCTAGGCACAGGTAAATTATTACAATATAATTACAATAAAAAAAACACACAATACCCCATCTCTCCCACCGCTCCCTATAGGAGTATATGTACCCTCAGCACAGTGTCCGGCTAACTCGGTGACCCCTTAACGCTGCAGGATCAGTCCCACACCGCCAGGAAGCTAAAACATCTACCCCATGGCAGCTTGGTGGTCAGCTCTGAAATGCAATCCATACGACCTGAGATTCAGCGGACGGAGTCCAGCCAGTCCGATGACGTGGTCGGATCCTCAAAGAATTTTGTAGAGCCGGTAAACTGCACCCGGAGCTTACTAGGATAAAGCATACTGTATTTTAGGCCTTTGTCGCGAAGTCGCCGTCGGACATCCTGGAACGAGCGCCTCTTTTTCTGCAATTCCGGTGAAAAATCAGGAAAAAGCATTATTGTAGCATTACGGTATAGCAGCGACGATTCCTTCTTCCTTGCAGTAGTAAGGATCAGATCCCTATCCCTGAAATTGAGGAGGCGGACGAGAAATGGGCGAGGAGGTGATCCAGGGGGTCGGGGGGCGGCAGGGACTCTGTGAGCCCGCTCCACAATATAGGCCAAGGAGACCGACTGGAGGTCCAGGAGTTCCTTAAAGAATGTCTCTGCAAAGGATGTCGGATCTGGGCCTTCCATCCCCTCAGGTAGCCCCACTACCCGCACATTATTGCGTCTCAACCGGTTTTCAGCATCCTCCGAGCGTGCGGTCAACTGCGCCAATGAGCGTTGGAGGTTGCGGATATCTTGTGTGTGCCCCCCTGAGGTGTCTTCCAACTCCCCCACACGTGTCTCCACAGTGGTTATGCGACCCCTCATCTTATCCAAATCCTGACGGATCAGGCCACATTCGGTCGCTAAAGTGTCCATCCTGGCCATGAGGGTGGTCTTACTAGCCTCTATGGCCGCTAGTATAGCAATCGTAGCAGTTGGGGGGTTTATGTCCTGAGAGGAGTGGGGGGACAGGGGGGCTTCACTTACAGGAGTAGTCACAGGATCCGTCTCCATGTCGTCCCACACCGCCGTCTGTGTGCCTGCAGAGGTGAGAGAAGCAGCTCGTGCAGCCAAGATGGCGCCGGCGCACGTGTCAGCAGGCCGGCCTGGAGTGCCACCGCTCGCTCGGGACCGGGTCGATCGTCTCCTGGTCCGCATCAAGGAGAAGGCAGGAGGACAAGGGGGTGTACCTTGTCCTCTTAAAATAGTGTATCCTGGTGCAATCTCTTCCCCAGGTAAGTGACATACACGCACCTTGCCATCCACGTAAAAAAAAAAGTAAACGTGAATCATCACACCCGGCCATCCTCATCCACTGCTCCGTGGTCCAGTTCTGATGCTCACCTGACAATTGTTGGCTCTTTGGGCGATGGACAGGGGTCAGCAATGGCACCCTGATTGGTCTGCGGCTACACAGCCCCATACGTAACAAACTATGATGCACACCTCTCTATCAGAACCAGCATGAACTTTTTCAGCAACTGAGCTCAGTAGAGCTACAGTAGCTCTTCTATTGGATAGGACTACATGGGCCAGCCTTCGCTCCCCAAGTGCATCAATGAGTCTTGGCCACCCATAACCGTGTTGCCAGTTCACCAGTTTTCCTTCCTTCGACCACTTTTCGTACATCCTGATGTGTGATATTATTTCGTTTCATGATGGTGTTAAGCACTGTGTGCTGTTATTTCATTTAATTAGAAAAATTGATTATAAATGGATTATAATAGAACAGGGAACATTACACTGTAATGTTGCCTATTATAATCTATTTCTCTGTTTATATGATTACAGACAGGACCGCTGTTCTTAGAATGTGTGACCGGTCACGTGGTCACACATTTTAACGTAATCCCACCTAGTTTTTCGGCGGTGGAATGTGTGACCGCCAATAGGTGAAGCATTCCAACGCTTTGTCAGCTGTTCCAGGGCAGATCTGCATCGCAGATCGCATGTGCAGAACAGATCTGCCCTGGAACAGTTGATCGGTCCTGAAATGCCACTTCTATCCGACTTTGCGAGTTCGGTGAAATGTGAGATTGCACTCAAAAAGATCGGTTCTCCTGCACATGTGATCTGCGATGCAGGTCTGCCCTGGAACACCTGACAAAGCGTTAGAATGCTTCACCTATTGGCGGTCACATATTCCACCGCCGAAAAACTGGGCGAGATTACGGTAAAATGTGTGACGTCACCGGTCACACATTCTAACGTAGTGACAAACTTTGATAGAACACTGCCATCAGGGGGTACGGCCGGTGTGATCTGCCCCCCCCCTCTTGGGAGGGGGGCCCAGGATAAAATCTTGCAGCAGGGCCCTTTGTTTATTAGGTACGCCACTGCATCCATTTCCAGGTGCCATTGTAATGAGATAATGTTATTCACTTCACCTATCAGTAGTCATAATGTTATGGTTGATTGGTGTAATGTAGTCCAGATAGCAATCAAGTTAATAACCTTTACCAACCAATCAGATATAACCTTTAGTGCTCTAAATACATTAAATCAACAAAAACAAACTACATATTTGCTGCCTTTTACAATGTTGCTAATTGGAAGAAAATCTCATACCTTTAAATTATCTGGAAGTTCAGCTCGACCTGCATATCCAGGATTCATAGTGATAAACACAGAACATGTTGGATTGAGGGTCAGTTCTGTTCCTTCAAACAGGAAAGTTTTCATGTTCCTGATGATTGCCTGCTGTATGCTGAGAATCTGCTGGGCCACTACTGACAGCACCTCAACCTACATACAGACATACTGTGTACGTTACACAATCAATATAAGATTTTAAAAATGTTTGGATGATTATTATCTTTCTATGCAGAGACATAGACAGCAACAGAACCCAAACTGCTTAACATCATGATGATGATGAAGACTTACAAACATCATTTATTTTCCCCTCCTCCATTAAAACCTGTTTAGAGAACCACTCCTTTAAATAAAAACATTTATAAACAAAAAACATAGCACATTTTTGCTTTGGCCTTTTACCTCAATTCTGTTGAATTCATCAAAGCATGCCCAGGCTCCAGACTGTGCTAGGCCTTTGAAGAATTTACCCATCGCTTTATAGTCAAGGCCATCTGAGCAATTAAACACAACGCACTGTGTGAGAAATCAAAAGAAAACAAGACTGTGTTGCATTATCATGCTGTTTACTTTTGATCAACAGTTTAGAAACATGGAGCAGCTCTTCCCTCGTTTCCAATATTGCTGCTTGAACCTCGATGCTTGGTAAAGCTTCCACCGGAGCTTTCACTAAACAATAGGTAAAAAAACGGCACTCGCAAGGGGATCCGTCCATCCAGTACTTTATTTGCAAAAAAGGCATAACGGCAACAAACAAATGCGTTTGTTTGTTGTTGTTATGCCTTTTTGCAAATAAAGTTACTGATTTGATTAACATACCAAAAGTACTTTTGTTTAACATCCTTACTAAAAGCTGAAGAGAACTGCCCCTATATTTCTATATGCTATGTCATCTAATTAGATAAAAGCAATTAGAAACTGGTATTGACTTATACATGACTGATAGAGAAATTTCTAAACTGAGGTACCCAGTAACATAGGTGATATGCACATTGCATATTGTGCATATGATACAAATTATGTGATTCTATTCGCAAATTCATTTGTGCAAGGAGCTTGCACAAATGAAAAAAAAAATATCTCCAAGTTTATTAGGGGACACAGGAATTTGAGGAATTTTTAAACAAACGGGTTATACGGCACCTACAGGAGGTTGGGACATAGGCAACAAAAACATTAAGCCAACCCCCATATAAACCCAAAAAACAGGTGGTGCAGAATGCTACCTCAATGAGAAAAAGCTAGGCTAATAAATAATGTGGTCAAAAAAAAGAAAATTTTACTGGGCCAAGTCCTAGAGAAAAAACAAATTCCTTAGGGAATGTCTAACAGTGACATGGATTTGGACAACTGCAGGAAAGGCTTTAAGTGGCCTAAAGCACTTCTGCAGCAAAATTGGGATAACATTTATAAGTGCTTTTTACTTGCCTAAAAATTCTACTAGCATTAGGAATATTCATCTGCTAGAGAACAGTAAAGAAGAAGGAATCTAAGAAGATCTCCTCAGACGACTGCAGCTTGGTTACAGGAAAATATATATCTTCTAGTAATTAAGTCCCATGAAGGTCTTCAGACTTACACTATGTCATGTAAGGGAAATCTGCAACAAGGTAACTGTGTCCTGCCTGCTGACCCTTCAAAGCAGTATAGATAGCGATACATACTTTCTTTCAAGGAAGAAAGGAGGGGTACTCAAATGCAGATCCCTCACTGTTCAAAGTGGGATTATTAAAAGAAGGGATTCAAAAGACAATATCTTGGCTCCAGGAAAGACAGTGTAGCTAATAATGACACAGTTAACACTGTTTAGCACAGGGAGCACGTCATCCAGGCCCTAGGGTTGACATAAGGATGAGTGCTATGAGCATGGTTCAGAACTGTTGAAGGACACTGAAGAGTCAGGTCCTTCATAGGGAAGGTGGACATTAGCATTATAGGTCAAAATGTCTCTCAGGAGAGGGATAGGGCTAAAGAGGATTAAGCATTGTAAGGGGTGCAGTCATCCATGATGAAAAAAAGACTCCTTAGTGCAGGGGTAGCCAAACTCCGGCCCTCCAGCTGTGGTGGAACTACAAATCCCATGAGGCATTGCAATATTCTCACAGACATGACTCCTGGAGAGAGATGCATCATGGGATCTGTAGTTTCACCACAGCTGGAGGGCCGGAGTTTGGCTACCCATGCCTTAGTGGGAAGGAGTGTGTGCTCGAGAGGTATACCATTTCCAAGAATCTTGGAAAATGCACAATGTGGTGCAGTAATACCAGAAAGGTGAAAAGAAAAAGCTATAGAAGATACCCGATTTAATGATCTAGAGTGGAAGCTAAAGGGGGAAGCTTGAGCATACAAGCTGCAAAAAGGCAAATTAACAAGGGATTTAGAAGGATGAGCAAACTTGTATCTTTGTGCAGAAGATTGAGCAGATGACACAAGGGGCTTATGACTCTAAGATCTGTGGCTTGAGTGGGACGTAGACCCTGGTCCCCTACAATGTACTAATGTAGTGATAGATGAAGGATGAGGTTCCTTTGTCCTATCCACAAATCTCATGCATTGATGCAGGTGCACAGTCCGAGCACCAGTAGAGTCACAAATAACATTATCAAGGGCAGGAACAAAGAGACACCTTCCGTTAAAGGGCAAGTGAATCAGATATTCCTTGGATGTATCTTCAACATCCCAGGCATGTAGCCAAAGTGCCATATGCATATAAAAAGACATCATCCCTATGCAAGATACAAGCTTAGATGCTTGTTTGAGTCCGTCAAGGTAGAAGCACAGGACTCCATACATTTATTCCAAAAGCTCCAGAACATGAGGGTTTGCGTATGTGATGGGGGGATCCGAATTAAGGGATTGGATCCATAGAGACATGGTTTCCCAAATCAAAGTCACTGCCAACAAAGGACACAGCGTCAGTCCAGTTGATTCAAACTGAGATCTAAATAGGAAGTCCAACTGTATGCCATTAAAAAGGTAAAAACATAATCAACCTGGTATGCTTGTTAAGATATACTGAATATGGCTGGAGCATCTACAGACCACTTAGTGATAAATTCTTTTTAAGAAAAAAAAAGCTGCTTCCCATAAATCCATAGGTTGTTTCCAGTCCTTGTAGAGGAAGGCCTATAACAGCAGGCTGATTTTCCAAATGCAGGGTAGAATATGTTAGATATTGTCAAATAGGCTAGAAAAAACTCCTTGTAAATCAAGTCACATGGAACTTGTTCAAATACATTTTTTCCAGGAGTAGACTGTGAGCACTCTGAATATAAAGATGGCAAAAGGCTTCAGACACACACATGCTCAGTAGGGTCAGAATTAGACGCTACCATGAATGGCACCGGAGAGCAGTTAGAGCCTCTGCTTGCAGATTGCTCTATTAATTGTGCGCAAACGGAGGAAACAATCCAAAAATGGACATATAGGGGGATGTGAACACAGGGGAGATCTCGGCCTCACCCAGTGGGGCTATAAAAAGCTCCTTTGAGGATGACCCTATAATAATAGGGAGATCTCTGGGAATATAGAGAAATGGCCCATAGAAGCAGGAGAGGAGTATGGGCTATCCGTTGCAGTGGGACTGTCCTCTATGTGTGTTTGAAAAGAGACATCTTGATTGAAGTCACCAAAGAAGAAAATGTGGGTGTATTGAGTATCTTGACTGAAGTAAAAATAAAATGAAAAAATAATCAAAAGGCAGCAAAAATATAAACTCCTAGATCACTGAATAAAATATGACAGTTGGGGGCGGAATTATATGGGACTGGCTTAACGATTTTTGTTTGCCACTGCCCCAACCTCTTGTAGGCAGCAGTATAACCTGACTGGTTAAGGATTTCCTAAATTCCCTATGTCCCTCAATGGACGATAAAGAAAATGCTACAGCAGGTAATTATCATTGTTATGAATGATCTACACTGATAAAAATCTAAATATGGTTCCCTGGAATTGGTTACTGCTTGCGGCATATCATCAGTACTTTTTACTCAACCGTATATATAATGAGAAATATACAAAATAAGTCAAAAACATTTGACTTATTGACAAGACAGTAATAATACTGCAAGTTGTGCATGCAACCTTAGCTGAACTTCCACAGAAATCTAATAGCAAGCTAAGATTACTATAAGGCAGACTTAAGCCTAATAAAACCCCAGCCTATGGGACAAATTCACTATTAACAGATCACACATTTTCTACCATCAGCAATAAAAAAATGAGAAAGTAAAGGAGGAAAATGTATTTTGAAAAAAAGACGTGTCTAGTGAAGAAAAAAAAAAAGCCATCAGAAGCCTGAACAAGTCTTAAGTATATCTCTGGATGCTTAGTGACTAAGGATAAAGTGAGATGACATGAAAAGCAGACAGATATAAAGGTGAATAGACATTGTTGCTGCCTTGCCTAGGGCAGCAGCAAAGTTAAATACACCGCTGCATAAGACACGGGATGATGAGAGTATGGCAGAACAGGAAAATGAAAAAATACATAACTAGCAGACACATATACATACTACATTTATATGAAGACACAACACTGTTAAGAAGAGGTTACCTGTTTGGCCATTGCTTTAGCAAGATCTTTTGTAGTTTCTGTTTTACCAGTTCCAGCTGGACCTTCTGGCGCACCACCAAGATTTAGCTTCAGTGCCCCCATTAACGTTCTGTGGCAGAGACAACAATCCTACATATAATTGAAGCTCACACTATAGACAGTTTAGCTACAACACTGATGATCAAAATAGCCAAATAGATTTAAAAAATGAAAACAAAGCTAAAGCAAACAAGTGCACATCAGTGTGCACACATTTAATTGTGCATTAATAGAAAGAAATGTGAATAAAGAAGCAAAAGTTATAAGTGTAGCAGATAACTGACCATTAAATCTGTAACAATCTGTAAAAAGTCTTACTACTCCACAGTAATGAACTCGTTTCTACAGCTTTTTCAATTATTCGGATTACCTTAGCAACACCGGATACTCAATCTTATTTCACCTCCATACCTGTAGCAGCGATCAGTGAGTGGAGTTATCACTAAACGCGGGGAGTTGCCAAGATACTCATAGCCGTATTTGGCTTCAGTAGTGATCATTCTGACCATAACATCTCGATTTTCCCAATAGTATCTTAGCTGGGAGATCCACTGGAAATCACTCAGGTTGGTCACCTTATCCTGGGTCAGCTTGGCAACAACATCACGAGCTGTGGAGAATTGCACAGTTTTATTATGTTACCTACTTACAAGCCATATTGTGGATTGTTTACATTAGTCATATTGTATGAATTTGATCTATAATTTATGAACATACAAAGCCTATACCATTTACTGTATATGCCATTTAAAGGTCCAATTTTCAGAGCAGATTCCTGTGCAGGCAAAGCTGTCCAGCAAAACTGACAGGAGTTGTGGCCAGCTATAGGCTCGTTCGTAGCAGCATCATACAGTAACCTGTTGGAGGCACACGAAGGCCAAGTCAGGTGGTGTGGTGGAGCCACACAAGCAACAGCCAGGAAGGCTGGAGGATTCGACAGGCTGAGAGAGAGAGAGTCCCTGGGACTGGGACACTGTGAGTGAATGGGACAACCTTGAGTCAGTGAGACAATATAATATATCCTATTTGTCGAAAGGTAAGAAGACTTTGTGTTATATGCTGAAGATAAGCAAACTTTATATTGTTTGAATTTGGCTGAAGTTAAGCTTTCGTTTGTGTTTCTGTCTTTTACTGGCTCGAAGAAGAAAAATAAAAACTTTTTATGTTTGATGGAAAAGCTCTGTGCGAGTGCTCTGTGAGCTCTCCAACGTTACACATAGCAAACTGCATCTCTCATTATCAGCAGGAGTGCATATGACACCAAACTCATCTATTTCTGTCACACCTATCAGGAATTGCACATTACTACACCGTAAGCTGTAATGGAAGATGCTTCTGTTAAATGCACTGTAAAATGAAAGATATTGTTCATGAACTGATAGATGGCTCAGACTTCTGTCTATTAGGTAAACAATATAGAGAAGAACAATTCATTTTTGGCTTAATATTTCTGCACAACCTTCTATCATTTTCCAAAACTTAAACTAGCCCAAGGCAATTATTTTTATTGTGTCAAAACCAAGCAATATTAAAGATGTTAACTAAGCCACATTGTAGATTCTAAGACAGGTGCTTTATATTTAAACAGAACTTCAGGCAAACACAACATTCAGTAATTATTATTCAGTGTGAATAGCTACTGTATGAGTGACTGTTTCTAATTTATTATGTACTTCTTGGGAAAATATATACTGTTCCACAAAGTTATATATGTCTATAGCAGGAAAGGAAGTCTGTTCCAAGTCCTGCTTCAATATGCTGTAGGCAGCAAAGAAGACATCACATGCAATACTAACCCAGCATGGCCCAAACTCCCTTCTAGCTAGTATTAAATTGGGAAATATCTGTTGCTAAGAGAATAGTGACCTACATAGCTAAGAGACAGATACTTTGAGTTATTATTTCAGTGCTTACCTGTAAAGAAGAACTTTACACAGAGCACTGAGATGGCAAAATGATAGGTTCTTTTTAGGTAATCCCTGAAAACTCATCTCTTTAGGGAAGCCTATCCCTCCTCAACCTAACCACTGAAATATTACTCTCTCAAACAACTTATTCCCACACAGCTACCACCTTTGGTATCACTTGCCCCGCCTTTTTAGATTGTAAGCTCTCACTTGAAGGGCCTGCCTAACCATCTTGTTTTGAATTGTATTGTAACTGTAATGTCTTCCCCTTATATCGTAAAGAGCTGTGCAAACTGTTGGCGCTACATAAATCCAGTATAATAATAATCCTAATAATAATAATAATATAATATAACATGTTCTAAGGAAAACAGAACATTTTTTGAATTTTCCTAAGAATTTGAGCTTTCTTAGAAATAAAAGGTCATTTGGATTTGGCGGGTGCGTTTTCAGAGGACAAATAGTGGTGACTGGCAAAGATAGGTATGGAACACAGATTGTTGGTCACAAACAGTATGTGTGAATAAAAAAGGTATTCACTAAACATTTGAAGTTAACATGATTGCAGATCATGTGTAAATCTCACACAGGGGAATTGGAACAGCCATTCAATGGACAAATTGTGTGTGTGTGTGTGTCCATGTGTAACATGAGATTAAAAGAAAATGTGCTTTTTTTTTGTATTGTTTGTAAAAAAAGTTAATAGTTATGTAATAGGCAAACAAAAGCTTCCATTTTATTGCATTAGAAACTTAAATTTCAAGAAACACTACCTCTCTTTGAATGGAGCTTTATTATAATACTTGAGGCCTTTCCTGTGTTGAACCTTCAGTGAAGGTCTTAAACTCTGTAGTTTTTCAGCTGTCAACGGTTACCAGAATCTATACTCAGTTAAGTAAAGCCTGAAGTATGGTGGTACAACAGGCTTTAGAATAGATAATAAGATGGTGCCAATGTATGATGTTTCATTTATGTAGTGTTTTTTTCTAGCTTGAATTATTGTTACACTCAATTTTCTGATATAGTATCCAAAATGGATAACACCCAGGGGCGGACTGACCATTCGTGCACTCGGGCATTGCCCGAGGACCCGCGGCCAGTAAGGGGCCCTGACAGAGGCTCCTGGTACCTTTATTGGTTTCCAGCTTCGCCTCTCTCCTAAGTCATGCTGCCACTCTCCGAGCTCTGTGCTCCTCGGCACGGGCCTGCCACAGAATGTCACTAAGATGGCCAACTTTAAACCTGGAAGTGCCCACAACAGGACAGACACTTTTTCCAGGCTGCTGCCACTTGGAAAATCGGCGAGCTCTGTGCTCATCCGCACAGGCCTGCCTCAGTTTTGCTTGCCTCACAGGTATGTCACTAAGATGGCTGCCATCTTTAAACATGGAAGTGCTCATATGCCGGAAACAAATTTTTACACGCTGTTACAGGGAATTAGGCATTTTCTGACGGGCCCTTCAGCTGACATTAAAAATGTGTGACATGCAGCCATTCTCCACATATTTCAGAAGTATCACAATGACTGGCAGCCATCTTTAATAAAACATCTAGTCGCACATGCGCATAGGAACAAAGTGTCCCTGCTTTGCCAGACCTCTGGGCAAGGGATGAAGAGCTTACTGAGCCTGCGCACTGAAAGGAGGGGAAGAATCCGCCGAAGCAAGCAGTCGAAGGCACAGCAGAACACTGAAAAGCTTCTTTTTGTAAGTAAATTGTTTTATTATAAATGTAGTTTAATGTCTGGTTTTGTCTTTTATTATTTAAATATTCTGGCTTTTGTTCAAAGAGAAATAACATAATAATTAAATGTAAATGTAGTGCTGGTATACGGTATATTATACTGTATAGGTGGTGCTGGTATACAAAATATTATACTGTGTAGGGGGTGCTGGTATACGGTATATTATACTGTATAGGTGGTGTTGGTATACGGTATATTATACTGTGTAGGTGGTGTTGGTATACAGTATATGATACTGGATAGGTGGTGCTGGTATACGGTATATTATACTGTATGTGGTGCTGGTATACTGTATATTATACTGTATAGGTGGTGCTGGTATACTGGTGTATAGGCGGTGCTGGTATACTGTATATTATAGTGTATACGTGGTGCTGGTATACCGTATATTATACTGTATAGGTGGTGCTGGAATACCATATATTATACTGTATAGGTGGTGCTGGTATATGGTATATTATACTATACAGGTGAAACTTGAATAATTAGAATATCTTGCAAAGTTCATTTATTTCACTAATGCAACTTAAAAGGTGAAACTAATATATGAGATAGACTCATTACATGCAAAGCAAGATAATTCAAGCTGTGATTTGTCATAATTGTGATGATTATGACTTACAGCTCATGAAAACCCCAAGTACCCCAAATCCACAACCTCAAAAAAGTAGATTATTACATGCAATCAATAAAACAAGGATTGTATATAGAACAATATCGGACCTCTGAAAAGTACAAGCATGCATATGTACTCAGTACTTGGTTTGGGCCCCTTTTGCAGCACTTACTGCAATTACTTTTGCACAATATTCTAATTATTCGAGTTTCACCTGTATAGGTGGTGCTGGTATACCGTATGTTATACTGTATAGGTGGTGCTGGTATACCGTGTATAAGGCTAGGTTCAGATCTGAGGGATACCCGGGACAGCGCGATCGTGTGCTAGTGCACACAGTGGTTGCCGCATGGTCCCATTGAATGCAATGGGGTTTCATGTACATGTACCTTTTTTTGTGATACACGACACATGGCTTTTTTAGCAGTCAAAACATGCTTTATTGTAGTTATGTATGATGCTTTTTGATGGGCCCATGGCTGGGGGAGCCCCACTGACAGCTGCGGACTGGGCCGGGGGGGCAGGGAGACAATTGCTCCCCAGGCCTCTTTGATGTCCTGCAGGCTGGGCTGGCGCTGTGGCAGCATACGGTTGGCCAGGCAGCACGAAGGCTCTGGGGCTGTCATTGTGTGCTCTGGCACTTTTCCCTTCACAGCCACTGCTGTCCTCCTGCCTCTCATACAGTGCGGGCTCTGCAGGAGGCAGGGCATTTCATAAGTGCACGGGATGAGCAGGCAGCACTTACTGAGGAGACAGAGTGGGCAAGCAGGTAGCAGGGCCCGGGGAAGGCTTGTATTCTCTCTCCTGTGAGTGTTCTGTTTTTAAATTGCATAAGTTCGCTCCAGTCCTAAGTCCACTTGGTTGCAAAGTCCTGAGTGCAGTGCATTACAAAGTCCTGTGTCCATTGCGTTACAGACTCCTGCGTCCAGTGCATTACAGACTCCTGCATCCATTGCATCACAAACTCCTGCGTCCATTGCGTTACAGACTCCTGTGTCAATTGTGTTACAGACTCCTGCGTCCAATGCATTACAAAGTCCTGCGTCCAGTGTGTTACAGACTCTTGCAATATGTGGGTGGGGCTGTGTGTGGGTGTGGCTTGAGGGTGGGCAGGGACACCGGGGGCCCCATAATCTCCTATTGCCCCGGGGCCCCATGTCAGTCCGCCCCTGATAACACCTCAGAATGCGGAGCGATATAACCACTCTGCTTTTATGTAATTTTTATTTCCTGATAAAACCTGCTCAGGCTCCGCCTCTGAAATTGCAGCCTATAGGCATCGACAGTGTGCATCGAATTTGTACAACATTTCTGGTAATTGACTCAGAAATACTATACTGCAT